TCCACCTGTCATGATTTGAGAATGCTTGGCGAATGTGCTCCACATCATTCTTATTCGTCTAGTGGCTTCAGCCTTGTGGTTCGGCTACGTGGTTACTACCTGTCCTAAGTGGACGTACTCTTATAAAATTTCAAGTGTATTGCTACCTTTCTAGAAGCGCTGTTTTCTTCCGAGACGGTTGTATATTACTTTGGTTTTCTGCAGATTAATTTTAGACAAGAGTATAATACTCTCTAAGAAGAGTTCACGTGTCTGTTTAAAGTGATACAATTACGTGGCAAGCTGGGACTCGCAGAAAAGAGTCAAATGGCTGTTTGTTTATTCTTAGAGTGAGTGAGTGAGTGAGTGAGTGAGTGAGTGAGTGTGTGTGTGTTCGTGTGTGCGTGTGTGTGTGCTAGGACGGGGGGTGAAGGGTCACACTTTTCGACCCCTTCCTTAATTCTTTTATGTAAAGGCGCAATAAAGAGTGTTGACACCCTATACTCCGCTTAAGGCTTGAGAAAAAACTTGTTCTCGGCCTAGTTGGTGAAATACTGACTGCATAGCTTGCCCATAAAGAACACGGACACAAAGGAAGATGACGAGGACGATGAGTAAGCGGTTTTTTTTTTAGCGACCATATTTAGGCATTAGGCTTGCCATGGGCTGATCTGTTTGCCCGTGCACTTCAAGAGTGCAACAGCGCTTGTAGGAAAATGCAGTAGGTTTGAGGCATTCAGTGGCCTGAACTGACGTGTGTTTGCAACAACCACTCCAGTAGCGAATTCCTTTGCTTAGCTGGAACTCATTTCGCAACGGTAAGGAAATAAAAAGCGCCGTTTACGCGAGCTATCAACGCATGCGTTATATGTGATGTCGAAGGAGCTGCGCATGAGGCATATTCCAGTGCACGAGGTAAACATTAAAAGAAATAAAGTCGTTTTGCTAAATGTGTGTTGGAAGACATTAGTAAACATCTTAAACCGGTTAACTGCAAAAACACCCGAGCTTACTCAATGCGGTGACCACAGTGTAAGGATCTGTCGTCCTTCGAAGTTCATGCACGGTCGGAGAGGGCTCCTCGGTGTTCGGCAATGGACACTTATAATCGTGCACTAGGTCACCGACAGTCATATACTGAAAGCGTGCAAAACCTGTTATGTACGTAAAAACCCACCAACTCTCGAAAATAGATTGGCGCCTTAATTGCAGCGTTGTTTTGTCGCGCGTGAACTCGCAGATCTGATACGCTAGCGGGAAAGGGCTCATCAAAAGCGTAGAAGCTTCGATGCGGGCTCGGCAATGCACCTGACCACGAAACCACGCGCCTTTCTCTTACTCTCTCGATCGCAGGTCCGCACGTTTGGAGCCTGCCGGTGGCAAGTTATCTTGATTGATATGTATGGTTTAACGTCCCCAAACCACCATATGATTATGAGAGACGCCGTAGTGGAGGGCTCCGGAAATTTCGGCCACCTGGGGTTCTTTAACGTGCACCCAAATCTGGGTGGCAAGTTATCTTGTCGTTAATTTTTCTTTCTTCAAACTTACATTGCAATTACTACTAATATTATACCCTATACCTTTTTGGCATCATTGTCTGTTAGTTCTCAATAATATTGTGTCTAAGAAAGTGAACGAGCCCTTAAATTTAGACTTCTTTCCTTAAAACCTCGCACGATATGTCATTTCCTTGCTTCGCCTGCTGGAATCACACAGCAAATGAAATCCTAACATGAAGGATGATGCGTCATGTTTATTCCTTCTGAGTTTTACCGCAACGGCTTCTAAAAGAGCTTAATAGCTCGTGTCAGGACGTCGTTGTGTGAAGCAGTCACACGCACGTCGGAAATAAAACCAAATGAAATAGACCAAGGGGTAATATGGTTCCCAACTAGCTACTGTGTGCATATGCCTACTTTTGCAAAATTATACCGCTTGTGCTGCTGGCATGCCAGCCTGTTGGCGGTCGCGCGGTGCTGTTGACAGCTCGGCAGTTGGGATCTGGGAGAGGCGGGGTGCTCTCCTCTCTCTCCCCGTTTGCGTCCCTGTCATCTCTTCATGAGCGCAGGGAAAAACCGTTGCAAAAGTTGTTTTTCTCTGCACGAGTTTATGCGATTCAACTGATGGTGGCCCGTCGCGTTGAAGGTGACATACTTATGATAATTATGCTAGCGCAAATAAACAAGAATCGAGGTATAGGCAACGAAGAAACACGCATAGGGCTGACACACAGTATTGACACACAGATGTGTTTGTGTGTGTGTGTTCGTTACCTTCGTTGTGTCCCGTTTCTATGCGCTACCAGCTATCAAAATTATGCCATACACCAAGGAGCTCGTTTTTCAACTTTCGTTGAGCGTTGTAACCAGCAGAGAATCTACAGGGAGAAAAAAAAAAAAAAGAAGGGGACAGCACAAAACGGGACTAACCAGGCCAACTAACCGGACAACTAACCAAACGCAATTTGTACAGATTAACCGCACCAGATCTAAACTCACTCATGTCACCTCTATAGTCCCCTAGGGTAGCGTTTTGGCTCCTGCACTTTTTCTCATCTTTATCAATGATTTACCCACTGGCATCCCTGTAAACATAAGACTTTTTGCTGACGGCTGTATACACTCTACAAAGAAATTATTTCTCCAGTTGACCATATCAATTTAAATAATGCAATAAAAACAATTTCCGCATGGTGTGCCAATTGCTGGCAAGTGAGCCTTAATGTAAAAAAAAACAGTTCTTTTGCGAAGAACACGAAAACACCACGTATATATGTTTACTTACATCATAAATGATGACACAGTAACAGTGGTTTCGCAGCAAAAATACCTTGGAATAACAACAATCTCTGACCTTAGATGGGATTACCATATCAATAATATTACCTCAGCGGCACTTAAGCGGCTCTTCTTTCTCAAACGACCCCCTCATAGAGCACCCCGTGAGACTAAATTACTAGCTTATAATTCACTCGTTAGATCAGTGTTAGAATATGCAGCTCCAGCATAGTTTCCATCAACCAGTAAATTAATATTCATTATGGAGGGAGTACAAAGAAAAGCAATTAGAGATTAATAAATATCAGCTCACAGATATTCTCAGTGCTTTAATCAAGTTGGCCGGATTACTCACAATTGAAAACCGCGCTACACTGCCACGATTAAAATTGCTTCATCTACTAATTCATAACAAGCCAAATAATAACAGCTCTAAATACGTCTCTGCTGCAGACACAAGAATAACTAGGCTAAAGCATTCACACAACCTAAATGACTACCGCTTTATTACTAATTGGTTTAAATACTTCTTCTCGCCGACCATAAGGCAGTGGAACAACTTACCTTCCACTATTAGCAATACCTACTCAGTAACCACTTTTCGATCACTAGAAAAATACTTACTTGACACACAAACATGGAACTAGAAACATTTTGCACCATTCTTTAACCATTGGTTTTACCCTTAGTACTTCTACCCACATTCCACTAACTACCATCGCGAAGTATGGTTCAGCGTATGCATGTGTGACTGATTGCATAACCTGATTGTAACTATAGTGATGTGTTTTTATGTGTCAGTGTTTTAAAGATTGGTGCCACAGTTTTATATAGATCACTTGCACATGTGATTGTTACATTGATTATTACATTGCCATTAGCAAAATAAAGGACTTGTTAGTTTTCATGAATTCTGCTTAGATTTTTTTTAATTTTGTTATAAGTTGTGCTTTTTCTGCAATAATCTCTAATGGCATTGGCAGTATGTTATAAATAAATAAATAAATAAATAAATAAATAAATAAATAAATAAATAAATAAATAAATAAATAAACTTTGTACTGCTGTCTTTTTTGTGCACGTTGGTTTCTTTGCTGGTTTTCAAATTGAATCATGGAACAAATTTCCCGACTCTGGGTATTGTTTGGAAAACTATTTTTTATGAATTGGCGCATGCTGTGTGGCTCTCTCATACTGAGTCGCCGAATGCTGTCTTCCTCTAAACCACATGAATGACTGAACAAAAGGAGAGGAGGCGTTAAAGTTTATCGTTCGTATGTTGGGCACAACCAAATGAATACAAAACACAACAAAGCCAGGGAAAGATAGGCGGGACATCATGACGAACATAAATGACAGGTCGCAACATGAAAATTATGGTGTGCATGTCATGTACGACATGAATTCCGAAGCGTATACCCAACATGCATGCATGCATGCATGCATGCATGCAGGCACAGAAAACATGTGACAGGGAACGACATGCGATGCCTATAATGCCTTGATTAACCTCAAAGACCAACAATGTTATGTATGCAGCTCCTCGCTGATTGCTTTGCGTTACATCGATTCCTATAGTGCGTTGGATTGGCCAGATTTTTTCAGTTCATAAGTATTTAACAAGAATTCTCGCCCTTATGTAGCCTTCGAGACCCCCCTCCACGTCTAGCCCGTCTATATATGCTTCTTTTTTCTTTTTTTCCCGCCTCTTTTGAGTCATAAACATTTGTATCCAATTTGGATTGTTATCGAAGGCAGTAGAAAACGTGACATTTGTGCAAAAACAACACACTAGCATATTGAAAGGAGTTTTATATTATTTATCCTATGTCCCCACTGCGAATGATAGCGCGTCTCTATTGCTCACGAACTTGCGATTTGACTGCATCAGGCTGCGCGCTTTTATGGTATGCTGCCTTATTAGTAAACAGAAGTCTCTTCGCGAAACTATAGGGTACGTATTCTAGTACACTATAGCGAAACCAGTCTGTGACAAACCATGACAGAACCATGTGCATTCCATCTGATGGCGACAGCGCAACTTGACTTTCGCGCTCTGCGCAAGTATGAAGATTATTAACAACGAGATGGTTATTTCACTCTCTCACAATATAGTTTATTTGATACTATTATAATTTCAAATAGCCATTGCGTAGCTTTTTTTTTTTTGTTCTTGATGTGCAGTTTTAGTTTGTCGAGACAAAGCCAAAGCAAGCCAAGCTTGTCTGCGTTCGGGCTGCTGTTGTTTACAAACAGTAGCCTGCCTAGGCTGTGTTCTTTCGCTTCTTCGATTACGGCGCCTTTGATGTATACTAGAATTAACGAAAATGGACGAATGTAAAACATTTTTCCACCGGTAGGCCATTACGCATTTCCGCTTACAGATGCTCGCCCACATTTTTATTCAGTAATCGTACGCGCTTGTTATCGCCGCTCGAGCGTCATTCTTATTGACAATCTGTTGCAGGTTCGTTCACCTCGATCTCAAGGGAGCCGCCTTCAAAGTTTCCTATTACGAGCAGGTAAGCCTCACTTTTCAAATATTTCTGAACCAGTCTCTCGTGCTTCTAATTCAATGCGTCGTTTGCGTGTTCTCGCTTCACAGCTACTGCCACTTATCGCAAGAATCGGGGCAACTGGAGTTTTGATTGAATATGAGGACACTTTTCCTTACACTGGGGACCTCGCTGACCTCAAGCATCCGGAGGCGTATTCCCAAGATTGCGTTATGCAGATTATACAGATAGCCAAGCTTTCGAGTCTAGTAGTCGTACCCCTGGTGCAGACGTTCGGGCATTTAGAGGTATGCATTCGCACGCATTTCAGAATTGACTTCTCCTAAACTCGTACCATCTGCTTTCCATTCTGCGTGCCTTGAAAGTGTAGCCACGAAGCAATAAAGTTTTCTCAAATTAAACCAAGAGGCCATCAACCCCTTTTACTTCTACTAGCCCCGTAGCCTCTTTTAAATGTAACACTGATGCTGTCATCTTGATACGCCGCTCGTTATTCCAGTTCGTCCTGAAGCGACCCAAGTTCTTCGAGTTCAGAGAAGTTGCTCGGTACCCGAACGTTCTCTGCCCGTCTCACCCAAGTGAGTAATTGAAACAGGCATATATTGTGCTATGCGTCGTGTCAACCTCATCGATGTGCACTCGTACGTCATGAATTCCTTTTTACCATTTCAGAGTCGTCTTCCTTAATCGAGGAAATGGTGACGCAAGTGATGCAGCTTCATTCAGATTCCCAGTGGTTTCATTTAGGCGCTGATGAGGTAGGTAACTAACTGCCTCATTGCTCACTAGTTAACTGTAAATAGTCGGTAAGCAAGTCTTTGTAACGGACCTGTCTAACCCAATTAAATGCATTTTGCAGGTCACCTCAAGAGATTCCTCATTTAGCTTTGTCAGATTGCATTTTCTAAATGGTAAAATTAACAGCTATTTAAAGAATTGATTATATTATGATGCTGCATTGCTCATGACAGTTGGACAAGGAAATAATTAGCACAAAAAGCCTTACCTCCATTAACGTGACACACTGGGTCATACTTTGTGTTTTTACACCAAGAACTTATATGTATAGGGTCATAGCTCTAAGTTTCACCACTTCTGACTAGTGACAAGGCCATCGATATTGTGGGTTGGTACTAAACATCTGGGTACTAGAAATATTTAGGTCACCTTTTGGTCGTACATACATAGCTTTTTTGCTTCAAGGTGTGGCACCTGGGCCAGTGTGAGAGGTGTCGCACAGTCATGGTGGACAAGCAGTGGGGCAAAGACCACCTGTACGTGGACTACTTGTCAAGAATTGTGGGCACACTGCACAAGAAGTACCCTATGCTGAAGTTCATTGTTTGGGACGACATGATGCGTGACATGGACCCACAAATAATCACTGGTTTGTGCCTGTTTTCCTCACCATAATTGTGTGGCAGCAGTAATTGGGAGCAGACGGTACAGTGATATGGCAGCTGCTGTGAATCTTCATGATGCCTACAGGGCAAGGGTATGGCCAGAAATTTTTTAGGGGGGTAATTCAACTGCCCTTTATCTTTTGTGTTGTCATGCACGTGTTTGCATACGTGCTTCTGCATACGCTTCTGCAAAATTGAAGAATTTCGGGGAGGGAAACTTCAACTCCCCCTCTCCATTCTGCCAATGCTAGTGATACTGTGTTTAGAATAACACAAGGCATGGCCATTTGCACGTGTGTTCACTCCGAGACGCATGCATCGACTGAGATTGTGGACAGCTTGCACACCACCGGACAGACCGCCTTCCGCGTTGTCTTCGCTGGGCTTAATGTTCCTCTCTCGAATTGTGCTAGCTTTGTAGCATTATTTGTACAGGCTTTGTCCATAAGGTAGTGAGACTTGGTCAGGTAAAAAGAATTTGTTGATTCAATCGATGCATATTATCAAAAAACTTTAAAAAATCTTCAAAAATGTCTGCTTGGGTTTATACACAGGTTCCAATTCGATTGCTGTGCCGCAAGGGACCCTTGATGTTTAGCTGCCATGACACCTTTCAGAGACACTTGTAACAGCCCTTTAGACATAGTAGAAACGCTGTCGAAATAGTGATCTTTTAGGCTTTTTTTAAGATTTGGGAATCGGTAGCAGTCTGCCTCAGATTGCATCAAAGCTGATGCAGCCCTGGTGTGAGGCTAGGCAGACTTATAAATTATGTTCGCTAAAGCACCCCGTATGTACAATTTTTTTTCATGTGTTCTGCGTGCATGCATGCCAACAAAGGCAATGTGAAAGGTCAAACGAATTGTCAGGAGATGAAAGCATACAGCTTTACATTCTGTCCACCAAATCAATAAGTTGGTAGTTGCCATGTTGCTTGGGTGTGTGTGTGTTTGCGTCCTCTCTTGTTCATGTGCTTTCGGGCTTCACCGACTTACCAAAGCAGTTTTATTAGAACCACAAATTTGCAGCATTTGTAGTTGGTTTATTTGATGAGCAAGGAACCAGGTATTTTCTCCTTCATTGAAAATGCAGTCGCCACAGCTGGGATTCGAGGTCGCGGGATTGAATCCCAGCTGTGGCAGATGCATTTTCGATGGAGGCAAAAATGCTGTAGGCCTGTGTGCTCAGATTTGGGTGCACATCAAAGAACACCAGGGGGTTGAAATTTCCAGAGCCCTCCACCACGGCGTCGCTCATAATATTAGGCTGGTTTTGGTACGTTAAACCCCACATATCGATCAAATGATTTTCTTTGTTGCAATATAAAAAATATCAGTGAGTTTTTGGGAGCTGCTTTTTTTAGAAAATCTGTTTCTACAAAAATAAACTGTGATATTATGCTATCCTGCACATATTATCACTGCGTCATGTATAGTTTTAGTTCATCACAGTGCAGCGAGAGATGTCAAGAACTGCAATGTTTATTTTGCCCTGTTTACTTGCTTTTTTTTTTTTCATACCATGTGACACTGGTTAATAATAAAGCCTTAAAATTGGGTGTGTATAAATGACATGACACTACTTCTTTCTTAGTTTAGATTTCTTCGAGATCCAGTGATACAGACAAAGTCTGGGGCACGAAAACTTGGAAGCGATTCAATCGCAGCTCATAGTCTATACCCTTTTCTGTTGGGGAAAGCTTTCTCGATAATGAACGAGAAATTCTGCATTGAAGGTGGAGAAGTTGGGACATATTTGTCATAACTAAACCGCAGGAATGAATTATGCATGGAAGAAGCAATTTTTATTTTCGTTTGTCCTCTCTTAGGTGCAGGACTGCATCACCTTGTGGAGCCCATGGTTTGGCATTACTTTCCTCAGTCAGAATTCCGGCTCAAGCAAAGTAAGTCTGAAGTGCACTCCCATATTGTGTAGTGGCTTCCTCTAGATGAAAACACCTAAGCGTCATGTGTGGCCTCACATTCATTCACAATAACTAGGGTGATGAATCTCCTCAATCTAGCAAGCTGTACTGATGCTGTTCTTGTGCTGTCATTGCTGCCCTCTTCTAATGAAATGCATCTTTGTGCTTTTTAAATTTATGCCTTGTACGATTGCCAGGTCTTATTTAGCTCTTTCAACACTGCTATCTCTTTGGGTTTAGCTAATTTTCGACATCTTCAGAATTACTTTTGTGAGATTCGGCTATTCCTAAAACCATTGATAAAATGAATACTGCCAAGTTCAGGTTAATTACATTATTGTAAACGAGCTATGCTTGTCTTGTGCTTCATTAATAACATACTTAGTTCCGTACTTTAGTTCCAACAACTGCAGGAAGAAGAAGGTGGAAGCTTACGAGGGAAAAAAAATCCCCAAAGAGGGCTGATGTGCTTGAACCGATAATCCAACCTTGAAGAAGACAAGCCCACTTTTCAAAATGTCGACTCGAGCTCACAACTGTTTATAGATTTTTTTTCCTTGGCTTGTCCTCCATAATTAAATATTTTATGCCATGTCATTATTATGTTGGTTTAAAGCCTTAAAAAGGATTTTGCAGGTTCCTGTCACCCGAGGTCACTGTTCGAAATTTCTCACATGATGATTGGCACTGCCTTTTTCTCGGCACTTTGAGAGCACCAGGAACTGTGGCGACAGCATCAAGGGAACTCCTCATGCCTCAATAGTCTATTTGTTAATTTTTTACTTGCCCTCAAGTCTGCTCGTAGCAGACCTTTACATCATATTGTGTCACTACACTGGAAAGGTTCAGGTTTCAAGCTGTTGCTATTGGCCAGTGGCTGACTATCAGTCAACCAAAAACCATACACGATCTGTTGTTTCAACTCTCCTGCATGTCACTAGAACAGAAAATCTGGCTAACCAGGTGTTTGTAAATGTTTGATCATTGAGCGAGGTAGCGTACATTGTGTGCACATCTCTGTCATGGTCTTAATTTTGCACACTGCATATGCCAGTATCGCTCTTAACTGGTACATTGTGATTTGCATCATCTAGGTATGTGGGACAAGTACCTTTCCATATTCCCAAATTTATGGATTGGCAGTGCCTTCAAGGGGGCTACAAAGATAAATCAGATGTTGACGCCTACGTCCTTCCATATCAGCAACCATGAAGCCTGGAATAAGGTCCTCATGGATAACATGCAACATGGGACATCCTTCAGGGGCATAGCCCTCACTGGTTGGCAGCGGTAAGGGGCCTATGCCAAAGCATTTGCAGTTCAGCTCATTCTCTTTCAGCTTCCATTCTGTGACAAACATCTCCCCCAACCAGGCCGCATGAAGCGATGGGTTTGTGCCTTCTTCCAGAGGCAGTTAGTGATAAATCATTTTACCCCTGCAAGAAAGAGAGTACAGGCCCTGCAAGGCGTCATGAACTTTGTGAGAAAAGTGTGCCAATTGGTAGTCGAGTCTCCCTTAAACATGTGACCCAGATATTATAGCGCTACACTTGGCAAGCAATCCACGGTTACATTTCAGAGACAGCTAGAAATTCACAAAAAAAAAATAAACCGACAACCACTAGTTTTCAGCACAGAGCCACAAGAAAATTCATTCCTTGTGGCCTCGGGCTACAAAAAAGTTGTAATAAGTTGTCAATCGCCCTTTCTTCATGCTTTAATCACCTTGCGAGATTCCGCAGAACTGATTTCCAATAAGAGCTAGAAGTTGCTAACTCTTCTCACAAAAAATTCTGTGATACACTGGTCGGACTAGGTGGAGGAACACGACCATTGGCTCTGTAGAATGTCCGTGCGCTGCATTTTTACTGTGGCCACCACAGGGCCCCTTCACATACCTGTGCCACTCTCTAGTGCTAAAATTACACTTTAGGAATTACAATAACGCACTCATGATCATGCTGAAAGTGAGCTGACAAGTTCAAAGAACAAAAGGAAAGAAAGTGCTCGAACTTGCGACGTGCAGCAGTTTAGATTGTTGCCCCGTTATCATTCCCCATGTACAGCAGACTCCTATTAATCGAAACTCTCTTAAATGGAATCACTGCCCAAATGGAATGACTGCCACTAATATGTTTGGTTTCGTTCTTGTTTAAACCCGTGTTTATCTCTCAGTAAACAAAACTCCTCTTAGACACTATTTCCTGGTCCTTTCAAGTTTCATTTAAGAGGAGTCTACTGTAGTTTTCAGCGCACTGTTTGGGGCATAAAAAGAGAGACAGTGGTTAAAGCGTGTGACAACTCTCTGTAACTACATTTGCACTTCACATGTTCAAAAGATTTTTGTGGTTATAGACTTGTGAGACAATGAACTGTGGCAGCCAGGTCACTAAATGGTTATTTGGAAAAGCTCTGTAGGGGCCCCTTTCAGAAAATGTTTCAGAAACGTTAAGGCAATCTTTTGGTGCCTTGTGTTTTATCTGATCACAAAAAAACTTAATAAACAAAAGCTTTGCCTGCTGGACAAAAAGAAAGTCTTTTCATTCAATTCCTTTATTTACGGAAAATTGAGGTCATCTCATGCCGGTGCAAGCACGGTCTGTTATAATTCAGCATTACATTTATTTTCCTATTTCTGCTTTCAGGTTTGACCACTTCACTGTCCTCTGCGAGCTATTACCTGCGGCCATTCCTTGCTTGGCAATGTGCCTAAAGACAATCATGGCAAGAACAGGCAAGTGAATTTGTGTTTACTATCACAAAAAACTCTGAGAAACTGAATTTTTCTAACTTTATTTGCCTACAGTCTTCGAACTTCCTACATGCAAACGAAAATTTCAATGAAAAACTTTTTTTTACATCTGGCCACCACAGAAAAGCAGCACATACAGTCGAACCCCGCTACGACGAAACTGACGGGGCACGGAAAAAGTTTCGTTGAAGTGAAAATTTCGGTGTAGTGAAATAAAAACAATATCACTGATCTAAGCTAGCAAAACAAAGGAACGTTTATTCTCAAAATTTAAAAATGTTTGCTGCTTCCTATTCTTTCCCTGCAGCGTCACGACGTGATTCTCACCCATGCATTGCGAGGCCATGGTGAAAAGCACGCTGAAACAATGCCTTAAACCACTTTCATGAACGAATCAAACAGTTGCATTAACACGTTAACACCAGCAGCTGTCCGCCATCAAAAGTATCTGACAACGCCAAGATGGAGGTAGGGTATCGTGGAGTGGCGACTTTTGCATTATTCTATGCCATTCTTATCATCCATCACTCGCGGCCAGCTGATTTTGTTGATAATGCGGACAAACAGCCGCTCCGATTAGTTACCACACTGGCCAAGCGCGAAACATAATGATAAGCATCGGAATCTGAAAAAGCATCATGCCGCGGTTGCACCAAGGAGGATTAAAAAAAATTGCTGGAGTGGAAGCTCCCGCAATGCCTTGCCAGCAGAAGTGAAGCCATCTTTGCCATAGCCAAGATGGCGGAAACATGCTCTTTTCTGATAGTGCCTCTTAGAGATCAAGTGGCTTTGATATGCTAGTGTTAATTCTACGTTAGTTCTATATTAAAAGACTGTTGTTCCTTACGAGATAACACACAAAAACGAGTATGGGTGATTGAATTTTTCAACTACTTTACCTCCAATCGGAGGCTCATTAAGGGAAAACTAGTATCACTAAGATGCACTTGGAGCACTATGTGACACAAAAAAAGTTTCCTTATTACACTAGTTGGGCATGCGAAGGAAACTCTTCGTTCTTAATTGCTGAACGGTGAAACTTTATCGTACCCCTAGTAAGATGGCCACTGCAGCCGCCATCTTGCCAGAGGCACGGCTTCACTCCTGGGCTATGAATTACCCTCAGCAATTTTTTAAATCCTCCTTGGGTTGCACCCAGCAGCTGCGCGAAAGAAACCATGAACTGAGCTTCAGCTTCGAATCGTCTGCGGCTCAAAAGTAAGCCAGTGGCAAAAGAAAAGCAGGGCAGTCTCATTGCCATCACTATCGAGGAATGGTGGTGCCCAGTGCTTGCTGAACAGCGGAGGTATAGCGGGAGTTTCTGGTGGTGCCAATGTGTTATGTTTTAGTATAGTGTACAAAAATATGGGGTAGTGTGTTCAGGGAGGAGCCGTGGCTGCTGCAGTTGGTATCGACAGCCGCGAGATGGCATCACCTTAGCGTAGGCTGTCACCTCATGCATTGCCCCTTATGCACTTCTGTGCTTTGATATTAGTAATAGCAGAGGTTTAAGCTCCCAAAACCACCATATGATTATGAGAGATGCTGTAGAGGAGTTCTCCAGAAATTCGACCATCTGGGGTGCTTTAACGTGCACCTTAATCTGGTACACACACCTCATTATTTGCGCCTCCACCGAAAATGCAGCCACCGCAGCAGGGATTTGATCCCGTGACATGTGCTTGCATACGTCGCGCTTAATGGTCTTGTGTTGAATTGCTGACACGTCCGCGAAAAGCTTTATGAATGAGTGTGCTCGTACTGCATTTAAAACAAAACAAAATGTCAAAGCTGCAACGCACGGTCTGCATGCAGGTATTAACAAACGACGGCGAAGCAGTCATCCCTGGGGAAACTGCGTGCAGTTTTTAAAGCTCGGTTGGTGAGCAAATAAAAAGTCAGGAAGATTAAGGTATCGAAAGAGCATCTATAAACCCGAAAGTTTCTTGTTATATTACTGCTATATCGAGTTGTGATCTGCACACTGCGACAGCTTCGACTTCCTTCGTTATGCCTGCGGCGCCATTCTTGTTGATAGTTGCATCATGCAATTGTAATTATGTGGCTAAGGTGACAAAACTGTTACTTGATTGAGAGGCATGCCGTAGCTGATGACTAGAGAATAATTTTGACAATCTTGGGTCCTTAATCGATTACACGCCCACCGAAATACTGCTGCTGTGGCCGGGATATTGCACTGTACAGTCAAAAGAAAACATCACTTGGCACCACCGTCAGACTGTAAGAAGAAACCCTTTATTTACGAGCGCGCATACTGCAGTGAGCAGTAACACCAATCAAATTGGTCGCCATTTCGTGGAATTATCAGTTCACGATCACTTCGTCATGGTGGCATTTTTATGAGCGCCGACTGATTTTGGTGTGCAGCTTTTTTCATTTTGTTTCTCGAGACTGGTTAATACCCTTCATGAAAAAATGAAGTCGTGGCAGCACGTAACTTACCGCTCTCTTTGACACAATATTCGGTGCGATCGAGCTCATATAAATTGAAGGTAAACAAAGCTTGAGTAAGCATTCCAGCAGAGCTGCACTCTCTGTAGTGTTCGTCACCTCGGGTTCGTAGTCAGCAGGAAGGTCTGTCGATGAACCTGAATCAGTGGCCTCACTCTCAACACAGGGTGCTGCAGTTTTCTTGGAGATGATAGATTTGACCGCCGAGTTCTTCCGCTTTATCGAAGGTCTTGGATGCGCCGCTTTCTTTAATAAGTAGCTTGGAGCGTTGGGCAGTAACATTGGCACGCCGTCCGGCATTAGCTCTGGTCTCCTACGTAGTACGCAAACTTCTTCGCCGTTTATAACGTGCACGTAGTCTCCGAGAACACATGAAGGCTCGAAGTGTAGCTCACATACAGAGCAGCTTTCATTCAAGGTCCCATCCTTTCAATCTAGATTATGTTCCTGAACTTTCCTCCGTGCTTCGTCTTTGGGTGCAGCGAAAAGCGACGGCTGCTCACCTTTTTTTCAATGGTATACTCTGTTTCGCACCTAGGTGCAAAGCAGTGTCGTTGCCGCCGATGACTCGGCATTGCCTCACTGTCGCGTGGCCAGCAAAAACATTGCCAAAAAAATTTTCGTTAAGGGGGCGCGAACACAAGCAACAGGTCCTGGGAAGGCAGAACGGCGCGGAGCTGACAATCCTGCCAGCCCATGCTACGGCAGCGCCGCCTTGAGAACTGGTTTTATGTCCACGTGGGCCGCTTTACGCGATGCATGACGAGAGACAATGCCTGAACACACTACCCCATATTCTAGTACGCTATAGTATTAGACTCCGTTGACGCATTTTCAGGCTCTGAAAATGGATCGAAATGTTAAAGATTGGGTTTACTGCATAGCAATAAGTATCTGAGCCTGAAATTGCATCGTAAGATTTCGTTGAAGCGGGACGATCGAAAAAAAAATGTTTATTGTGACGGCAGTATTTATGCATTGACTCCTATGGACTGCTGACGGGGAATCATGAATTTTTTGTTGTAGCGGAAATTTCGTTGAAGCAGTGTTCAATGTAGCGGAGTTCAACTGTACCAGGAAGCCAGAAATTCTGCTTAGCTACGTCTTCTGATGCAGCCATGCCTAAGTAACCTTTTCTTGTGCCTTCACTTGTGGCTTTGAAAGATTTGTGTGCGTACCAGTTTCTTTTTTTTTTCTATTAGACTAGCCGATTCCAATTCCCGTAATGTGCACCGCTTTGCATTACATTCACATGTGCACTCTCTCTCTCGTAGTCTCGCTTCCCTGTCGCGCACAGTCAGCGGCTTTAATCTCACACAGTACATCTTGCATTGTGCATGCAGTGACACTTGTGTACAGCCGAAAACAAAGTGCAGGGCGGATGATAAGTAGTATAATGAATACTGTTTTCATGTACGAGTGCTGACATGGTGCACGGTAATGGCATAGTGAGCATATGCCTCCTAAAGAAGTATGCAGTGAAAAGGAAAGCGCATTGAAAGATATGGAAATGAAGGCAAATGAAAGACCGTTCACTTGCTGATATGCTCAGTGTGGTTTTATGAAGCCCATTGCTATTTGCTGAGTTGTGCCGATTGCTGCTGATTACTACAAAACTTATTGGACATAATAAATGTGTTAGTACGAATCTAGTTGATCATGTTCCAGATGCTTCCAAGCAAAACTATAGAAAATAAGGTGCTAAAGATCCTTGAGATTCTTGATATAAGGGGACATTAAAGTGTTTATTTTGGCTAGGTTGGTATAGTACCTGAGGAGTGCTGCAAAGTGGTGTTCCCCAGTTGTCTTTCAAAAAATGAGCCAATGTGGAAGCCGAGTTGTATTCATTTGCATGATTTGGTACAACCAAACTAATGTTCACCGCACATTACATGTAAGCAGGAAACGATGCTATTTCCTCAAACCCTCCTCCTCCTCCGCCTTCTGTGGAAGCCCAACTGCTAGACAAGGCTGTGCTTTGGTTGAGGATTTCTCTCTCCCACTTCGTGGTTGCGAGTGGTTTCTGCGGCAGTTGTTGACGCTGGTGTCAGTTCCAGCGAGTAAGGTCAAATCTTTGTCATGCATGGCTTTTGCAGACGCTGGACAAAAGCACACTTTCACAAACCTGACAAAGTAAAGCTTTTGCATTAAAATTCAGTGCAAGACAGGGCCAAAAACAAAACAATTTTTTTTTGCACGGTAACCTGTAGACCTGGCAGCAGCGCACTATCTCCTGTAGGAAAACAAAACTGTGCTGCTAGCTGTCGCCTAGTGAAGCGGGTGAAGTAACACGTAATGTTGCCCCGAGCCTGGATAACTTTATATTTTGTTGTTTCTCGGGTGATATCAATGAATTTAACATGCGGATTGCACAGCACTAAGGCATTCACAAGCCATGCTTTGCAAAGCTAGTCGATTGAGTGCGGAACAGAAACAACGTTTTGGCACTAGCAACAGCCCTCCATCAATGGCAGATGTAGTGACATCACTACCTCAAAGTAGTGACGGAAAGAATTTCAGCCAGTCTGCACAGGCTCATTTTGTGCCTGATTACGGTTCGTGCCTGATCAAACCTGTTTCCAGCAAAGTGGAAATTGTAATGCGCCCCTTTCATTAAGAAAATCCATAACAAAGAAAAGCTATTGTGCATGCTCAAAAAGGCTACGTCGCTTCTATATTGCATACCTGAAACCTGTGTCTGTCAGTAGTGCGAAGAAAGAAAGATCATCTGCAGCTGTACATTGAGAAGGAGAAGTTTCTAGTGGTAAAAAATCAGGAGTAAAGTAAAAAGTCCTCATCAATGACTAGGGCTCCACACCCACGCATTCTCGTTTGGCTGACAGGTATCACATGCACTATCACATTTGGTGCACCACGTTCCTGGTGCACCAATGTGATAGTGCATTCCCCCCTTCCCCTTTCTTTCCATAGGCTTTCTTTGCAGCTTGGAAAAGATGACACACATGAAACTTTCTTTGTCACAGATAATGCGGTGGGGGCTTCTGAAGATGCTTTCAAACATTGCAAATCCTATTTCTTGCCTAAAGTCAATATTTAGCTATTGATCTAAATAATCCTTAGTAAAAAATAAAAAATTACAAAGTGAAAAATTGTCTGTAGTGGGCTAGGTGGCTGTCAGAGATACGTAACTGATTTCGCTCGCCTGCCCCTAACATTGTATATTTTAACCCCTGGCTGCAGGTAGTTGGGACATCCAATATATACTCTGTACCAGCAGCCTCTAAGCTCAGTTTTTCCTTTTGTTCCAGGCCTGACCTCTGAAGCTCTTACTGAGGTGTCACAATCTATTGGCTACTTTGGCAACATCGAGATGGAGGTCTTTCCAAGGTTTGCCTTTTATCTTCCCAGTAATCTTTGAAGTAAAGTACTCATGTTACATTGGAAGCTTGGTACACTGAATTTTGCATGAGGAAAATTGAAGAAAACATTAAAATGATCAGGGTCTCTTATGCATTTGCCTAAGACAACACAAAGGTGAAAGCTATCTTCTATCTTTCCTTCTCAATCAATATATGAATCTATGCCCCCCTGCCCCCCCCCCTCCCCACTGAAACTTCTGGGTACCTGGTATTGCACTGCCTCCGTGATCAGATCATCTTTGTTGAAAAATTTTGATCTGTGATAAGATATGATGACATCATGTGATGAAAATTTTTTTTTGCATCACTAATGTTGGCACTGAAACAACCGACTCTGACAGTCAATTTTTGCATTACATGAGGCATTTGAGGCTTTCGTCTTGATAATTTGATAACAATTTCACTTATGAGCTCGATTTTAATACGCAAGTCTATTTGTGGGCGACATTTAGTGAAAGACAGTATGCATTAGAATCGTGCCAATGCAGTGCTTTCCGTGGAAAAGATTTCCCTAGAGCCATTCATTGTGTGGATATGCCATTACTAGTGCATACGTGCTGCTATCACATCTTTGCACGTTTACGATCACATCTCTATAGACATCACACAACATTCATGATCATTGGTCGACTGCCCTTGCAGCCAGGGTTGCCACTGGTGGCTACTTTTTGCCAAATTTGGCAAATTTGAGAAGCCCCTGGCGACCAAAACTTATGAATTGCGACATGGCAAATATTTGGTGATTTTCAGCTCAGGTCACGACTGAGTTATGCATTCTGTACTAAGTGTCTTTAAAACGATTGGGTGGCCGCATTTTTTCTATTTTTTGTAGTTTTAGACCCCCCAGTAGAAGGTGTACTTTACGCACGATTCAGTATGTCTGTCCTATTTATCAAGTGTACCTCCTCAATTCACGTAAATCTTGGAGGCACTGGCACACTGGTGCTCCTGACAGCAACCTCCCAGCAAAATTTAGCTCAGCCAACTGCTTCGCCTGCCGCGAGGTGGTGGTGTTATAAATGTTTTTTAGGTGCTTTAAGAGCTCTAAACTTAATCAAAGTTTCTCTTCCGATGTGGCCAGGCGATGATGGTTGGGCCGCATGTTCCGACCACAGCTCCAAACTGTCCTGAATAGCTTGTCGAATTCTTCACTGTTGTAGTATCTCCTAATTCTCCATGCAGAGTTTAAATTTTCAATTAACAGACTTCTCGGGCTGGCCGAGAGGTAGCTCATAACTATAAAACTGCACGAAAAATCGACAAGAAACAGAGAAGGCACACACACAAGCGCAGACTAGCAACTGGAAATTTATTGAAGGATACAAATATATACCTGGCAAAAAAAATATGACGTGAAAGATTAGAGGCTAGCAGTGGGATAATCTATCTCTAGTTGGTGAAAAGTCACCGAAGGCCTCGCAACACACGTGTCGCCATACTTGTGTATATAAAAAGCCTCCGCAACTGTAGTTATGTAGTTATGTTATGTAGTTATGAATTACTAACTCGCCCAGCGTTTAGTATTCCCAAGAGGTAGGTTTCATTGGGCAGCCTTCAAAAACTGCACTGAGGTGAGTGTGTAACGTAAGCATTACCACGCAGAAAGCATTGTGCGGACATTGCGATAGTCATGCTGTACTTTCGTGTTTATTTCCGTTGTTTTGTAATTAAGTTGTTCGATTATCATTCACATGATTACACTACAGTGAAATTCTCTAAATATGCAAGAAGGCTGCGGCCGCCGTCCTGTTCTTGTTGTAGCGACTGCTTCCCTCTGTATTTGCTACAGCTGAAACCATTACAAATTTTGTTATGAGGCACTAGCATCGAGGGACGCTGCTGGTACATGCATGTCTTTTCTCAGTGGTCCCATGGTGAAGCGGGTGATGTGACTGGCATCGAAAAACGTCAATATAATTTGGGGGTTGTGGACGGTAATTAGCAATTTTTATTACTAGGCACGCCACACATATCCGGAGTGGTGACTTTTTTGGCCAAGGTTGAAAAAAAATAGCGACTTTGGCGACCTTTCACTCGTCGTTTGGCAAATTTCACTCTCAGTGAAAGTCAGTAGCAACCCTGCTTGCAGCCAAAAAACACCCTAGCTATGTCGGCCCTTAGTGCGAGCGAAGGAGCATGATTAAGCTTCTATACAAGAGTTGGTACTGTAGTGGTATGCTCAATCGTGTTGACTAAATGGCATTTTTTCTTGCCCACCATCGATATTTCTTTAGAAGGTGTTACCTGAAGGAAATATATTCTGTATCGACCACTGTCTACTTCACTATCTTTTTTTTCGAATGGTCATAAAGAGGCCAGGTGCGGATATGTGTGGCAATCTCACTAAATTGAAACAGCAGCATCACGTTGCCTCAGTAAGTCATGCACACGCACCAAAAAAAACACACTCTTCAATGGATTTGAGACTGAAAAATGAAAATGACTCACTATATCGTAGATTTCATCAAAATGAGGTTTGTTGTGTTGAGGTTCGACCATATCCCTGTTTCACAAATATTTTTACACTTTACTTCCTCCATGTACAAAATATGTATTTGAGTGTGAAAAGTTGTAGCCTCAAGCACTAGCTTCAAGCACATTCTGCCCATATTTCAAGAGACTGCCGCTGCCCTGAAAAGTCACTTAACAGTAACTCATGGTCGCGACTTACTACGTGGACGTAACATATCAGCCTGTGCTGCTCTTCGTAGGTCATTCCATTTCTGCTTTTTATTGTGCATTATGTATTTGCTGCCGATTTGGATACACTGCAAGTTTTGACAGGACGGACTTAGTCAGAAGGCTAATGATTTGGTTCACATGCCTTTAGAATGCGCTTTTGTGAAAGAGGACGCTGTGTCGCATTTTTGTAGTATGACAACAGTAATAGTTGAAAAGTAGGTTGATTACATAACGACCGTTATTTTTATAGTCTATAAAGTAACCCGACATTGTGCTGTAACGTGCCCTGTTTTATTTTCAGACCACAGGCAGTGCCACCTGTGCCAAATTTCCCCGGGGGAAAGTTGCACGTATCCGTGTTGCACTTAAGCAATGTGATTGCAGAATTGGAACAAGTGCTTCTAAACCCAAGGTGAATTGTTCCACACTCGTCAGCTTTTGATTAATGGTATCTTTTCACTAGTGGGTGCAGTGCATGCTATCGGCTCTCATTACGTTCGCGTGCCCTTCTGTCATCTTCTCAGCAAAACAAGCCACTTTACCCGGCCTACCTATGTGCTTCAAGTGTCCGCACGAAGCTGATTTTCTATGACATTTGTGAGAGTAGGTGTGGAAGACTAACAGTTGCAAAACGAAAACCTCCTGCTAGCGTGTTTCTTTCAAAAAACAGTGCTGCAACTGTGAAGATGCCTACTTTGCGCGACATTGTAAACAGTATCGTTCATATGTAGTAAGCAGACCTTTCAAATGTTTATATGGCCACTACTGTAATATGCTTCATGGATCTGGGCTCCTCATCAAAAATACCGAGTTTGTGGGCACACACTGTAGAGATTAGATGCAGTGTCAGTTTTATTTCCTAGTATGCTTCACTTATTGTCATTTTTCCGTAACCCCCTCTTACTCGGTGCTCTTCTGGGGTCTGTGGCGTAATGCGAATAAATAAACACTATAAATGTGATCCTAAAAGTCCCATTAATATAAAGAGTTCGAAAAATTGATTGAAATATGTGTTCACTAGAGGGGGCTAGAAATGTCTATTGAGTATACTAGCTACAATAGGCGTCAAACGGAATGAAACACAAGCAGACGAGCACGTGCCGTAAGCATCACTGAAGGTGTAGTGCGCACCTTCAGTAATCACTTTAGACAGGTCCGCTGTGCACATCCAGTCTGGCAGCACTGCACGATTCTCCTAGAGTCCTATATTTTCGCCTCTATTCTAGTTTTGATGTTTTAAGCAAAGGGAACAGAAATGAAATAAAATTAAAGGTGAAGCAACCAGAAGAGCCTGCACGCCCACCCTGGCCCCTATCAGTAACAGGTCAGAACTAGAATGGAATCAATAACACAGCATTGTGCGCAGTGCTGCCAAACCGAATGTGCACACCTGTCATTGGTGATGATGGACAATGCGCACTATACCGATGCTAATGCTTGGGCTGCACGTTCCGCTGTTCATGTTTCATTTGATGCTGATAGTATGATGATGCTCATCAACTCGAACTCTGTTATTTCGAAATCCTACTTAATTTGCAGTACTTCTGCAGTCCGGTATTTTGCAATGTAAGTTTGAGTGGATCATTTGAAGCGGTGGTCAGCACCATTTCGGTGAATTCAAGAACTTTGGGTGCAGTGTGCCAATTACTGATCCTGATTTAATGAGTGGCTGCTGAACTAATGAACTAAATAGCGATACTAATGAGTGGCTGCTAAAGCACGCCAACGTTTATACTTGCAGCTAGAAAAATAAAATTACCAGCGTGTCACTAGTGCGTTGCAGAAGATTTTTTTTTCCGCTATGGCAGCAGCGAAGCCCAGCATTCGCCCTTGTTTGTGGCGAAATTGTGACCTGGTATTGCTGGAGAACATAACCCGTGGAGCCGTGAAAAGCCGGCACAGCAAACGGCCGGCCTTGATTACATTGAATATTTTAAGTTTCTTGCATCTCACTTTTTGTATGTTCTGTTAATTCAAAACCCCGCTTGATTCAAAGATTTGTCATGATCCCAGTGACTTATAATTAAGGTGGTTTTTCTGAACATTCATTCATACTTTGTCTAAACAAAGCAACAAGTGGCATTGAACTAGTTGCTAATACATACCTAATAAAACTACTTAATGTAGACACAGCAATGGTGGCCTCACCTTTTCTGCATTGCTGTGTCTACTTTGGCTCTGAGTGATTTTAACTGAACAAAGCACCGTTTCAAATGCATATGTATGGTGCGTGTTGGAAAAGTAATTAGGCTAAGTTAGTACTGGCCAAAGTTTTCAGTTTTTTTAGACAACGCTATTCCCTTTAAAGTAGTTTCCTTGGACAGGTATACACTGGCACAGCTGTTCCCATTCTTGGTAGAACCACTGGAAGTCTTCAACTCATAAAGCTTTTAAGCGGTCAGTCACAATCTTGCGAATGTTCTCCAGGGTTCTGAAATGACGTCTTTTTAGGTCATGTTTAAATTTTGAGAAAAGAAAAAAGTTACAAGAACTCAAATCAGGTGAATAGGAAAGTGGAGGAACAACAGTAATTTGTTGCGAGGTGAAAACTTCACTGATGGAAAGGGCCGTGTGCCACGGCGAATTTTCATGACTAAGCATGCACTTGTCTGCAATGTCTCTCTGAGTGAGGTTTGTCTTCAACATTTTCTAGGCCTTCCAGAAATTATTTGTGCCAGCAAAAAGCCTGTGCTCTCCATAAACAATGTTCCCCATACGCTTGTTTCAACTTTTCAAAAGTTGCACAAGTGAAATCACTATGATTAACACAAAGCTTTATGGCACAATACTGCTCTAAATTTCAATGTTCCATTTTTGTAACCCAGAAAAAAAACACAATTTCACTTATGGTGCTGTCAAAACTACAGCCGAACCCCTTTGTGAGAGACACTGATGTAAGAGACTAATAGGCATAAGAGACATCTACATACCTACATCAAAATAGAGGCTGATAAGAAAATACATACACGGTACTCTGCTTATAAGACACACCTTATATAAAAGGCAAGAATTGCTTCCAGATGCATGTCTCTTTGAAAAGGGTTCAACTGTACTGTACTAGTTGTTTGGAGTTGTAACTTGGACTGCGGAAGTGGAAGACGTAAACAAACCGGTCAAGCACAGGCCATTAGATACATTTCCAGATCTTTTGCGGTATTGCTGTGATGTGATTGTGCGCGTTTGAAAAGTGCGCTACGCCATCAGCCTGAACCAAAGAGGACGATGAAGATGATGCTCGCTTGCGGCACGTGTGGGCGTTAACATTTTAAGCCAATAACGTGCCTCCACGGAGATTTAGGAGAGCCACAGGAGAAGAACAGTGAAGCCAGGCAGTTGTGGCTGAGTCGGGACCGTGTGAAGAAGGTGGCCAGGGTGCGGGAGTGGCAGCCAGCAGAGCTCCTGCATCAAGGTCCCAGCGGGCTCCCACCTGGACACAGAGCTTCTTCTTGTCACCTGACGTGGGCCAGGCTTGTTCTGGTCTTCTGGACTCTGCGAGTCGGCTGCTGCGCCAATTGTCTGCAGTTGCTGCTTCGACAGTGGCGCTCTCACCATGCACGGACTTGGACACTACACTGTTCCTTTTGTTTTGAAGCGGTCAAGCCAGTCGCTACCGCGACTGAAGTCTGTGTGCCCCATTTGCAAGGCCAGAGCGTCTGCCTTCTCTATCATTATTGCTCTAGTTGATTGATTGATTTGTTGGGTTTAACGTCCCAAAACCACCATATGATTATGGGAGACGCCGTAGTGGAGGGCTCCGGAAATTTCTACCACCTGAGGTTCTTTAACGTGCACCCAAATCTGAGTACACGGGCCTACAACATTTCTGCCTCCATCGGAAATGCAGCCGCCGCAGCCGGGATTTGAACCCGCGAGCTGCGGGTCAGCAGCAGAGTACCTTAGCCACTAGACCACCGCGACGGGGCCATTATTGCTGTAGTGATGGGAAGGTTGGCCCCTCTGGCATTTCGCAGCCGTATCATCAGCGCCGTTTTAACGTCTCTTTGACCCTCGAAGCCGCTTCCACTGGCTGGAGAAGCTTTGCCGAAATTCATTGAGCACCTTCTGCTTGTTTTTCAGCACCATCGGAAGCGTAGACAAAGGGATGCTGAATTCCTGTGCGATGCTCAAATTCGTTTGGCCGCCTTTATCCGCTTCCTTAATTAAGGCAACCTCTTTTTCTAGGGTTAGCGACTTGCACTGCTTTGATGCCATGCTTGCCGCACTCACGCTGAGTTGTTGCTCCTCAAAGTCAGCGAAAATCCGTACCGCTCTGTTTGTGCAAATGAACGGAAATCACACCTCAGGGAAAATCACAAGCACTGCACTCACAGTCAGCGAAAAATCTGTACTGCGTGGTTTGTGCAGATTATTGGAAATCACATTTCGGGAAAAATCCTGTGCGATGCACAAAGCGAATGAGACAAACTATGCCAAGTGTCGGCGGAGGGTCTCCTTGCTCAGCGCATGTGTCACATGACATGCCACAGGGTCGCTTGACAAAGTCGATACGTTGCTGGGCTGAGACTTCCTGCACTTGGAGTTCGCGGAAAGCATCGACGTACTGGCAGGCACGGCTAAATAAGAAAAAATCGACAGACTTTAAGCGTGGCAGCATCGCATGAATTCCGTGAAATGGTCAAGCGGCGGAATTTTTTTCCACTCCCAGTCAAGATTTCGAGTTATCTGCAATCTGACACAAAAATACTTTGAGATAAAGGGAAAAATATACATGGAACGTATAGTAAAACATTCGGTGCTGCGAAAAATTCACAACTTAGCCGATTTTTCGAGATATGTGAGTTTGAGTTCATGAGGTATTACTGTATATTAGTATGCTTACAATGTTGCCTTTGGCCACCAGTGCAGAATTTCATTTCCACTATTAACAGGAGCCATTCCCCTGTATCTTGCCTCAAGCATGCATGAGCTCACCACGACGATAGCGCAATTACAGCAGTATTACATGACAAAAGTAAGGATTACAAAACCTGCAGGGGATACAGGATCTGCTTTTAAATCACTGATATTCAGTTTGAACAGGCTCGTATATGTTTTATGTCACATTGTCATGGCAAGTCATCCGCACTTGCACATCAATGATAGTTCACATGTCTGGCCTTGTCACGGGATCATCTTTTCAGACTAATTCCAGCACAATGTGTTGGAGCGGTACTTCTTACTAATGATATTTTCAGCTGTGCTCTCACTGTCGCAGAGAAAAATTCCTCTATAACCGAGCAGGTGTGCGTAGGTGTTGTGCTGGCAGTACGAAAATTTTGCCTTCATCTCCACCGCCGTTACCTTACAGTTGTTACTTACCACAATGAACTGTGCTGGCTATTGTCACTAAAAAACTCATTTACTCACCTTGGTAGCTTGGTGCTTCGCTTGCAGGAATACGATTTTGATGTCGCCTATAGAACCAGAGACAACCACCCAGACACTGATGTTATTTCTTGCTGTCCTCTGCCCAGCCATGACATCTCTACACCGTCTTTTGGCTATGGAAGTGTTTTAACCATGACAGCTCTTAGTTGGCTAAGATCTGGTAGCTAATCCATACTTGTGTGGCACCAACGCGTAGACTCTTACTGCCGCACTATTTTATATTGCATGCAAAGTTCTTCTACTCCTTCGAATGCCCCCCAGCACCTTTTCCACTTATGAGGAACCGCTTTACTTGAGTCGAACTCGAACTGTTCTGCAATGATAATGATATATACAGATGAGGAAGTTGGAAAAATGATAATTATGATACGTCGAGATGACATACAAGGGTCGCTGATTTGCTGCTCTCACAATATCTTGTTTACCTATGATGTTGTGTCAACATAGTAATGCAAATGTGAAGTGTGGCTTGTGTTTCTTCTTTATTAATTTATTTATTGTTCGTTTATATCTAGCGTGCAAGGTGGATTCCATGAGTTTCTAGTGGCTCACAACAGGACGAACCCACTTCATGTTGACCAGTTTGTCAACACAGCTCGAAAGTATGTATGGCCCTGTTTTGAAATATGTAATTTATACTGCTTAAAAAGAAAAGGTATCTTTAGAACATTGTTGGTGAAATGTACCAGTAATTACTTTTCTTCATGTAATTTATACTTCTTGAAAAGAAAAAGTATCGCTTCTTTTCTTCGTGTAATTTATACTGCTTAAAAAGAAAAGGTATTTTTAGAACTTTGTTGGTGAAATGTACCAGTCACTTCCTTTCTTCATGTAACTTATACTGCTTAAAAAAAGGTATTCTTAGAACCTTGTTGGTAAATATGTACTGCTGCAGAGAAAGTGAAAATTGTGTGCTTGGTTTGCTGCAGCGTGGTATCCAGAATTCTGTTCATAGCATTCTATTTTACGCTTTCGGGACAGGAAGCCTTATTTAACAAGATTTCCTTTTGAACTCTTGTTGTGGTCATAGTAGCTAAGATGGATAAACAATATAGACTTACCATATTTTGCCAAGTAAATAATTAAACAGTCAGCAAAAACCCTCACTGCAAAACTGACCAATATAAACAGTACTAGACCATGTCGATCAACATATTGCTGCAGTCAGGGTTAAAAGCATGATCCATAGCAATAAAAATTTGTATGTAATAAATAATTCAAAACGTGATGGAATGTAGTAGCATAAATTACTTTTATCTAATCATACGTTACCAAGATTCGCACTTCATATCGTCAGCCAACATCCCCAGTGTGCATGAACGTACACCAAAAAAGTGTTTAAGTCAGTTGTACTTGTAAATAACCCTTCCACAATATCATTACATGTAGCACAAATTTCTTTATTGGAACACTCTTGGCGAACCTTAAAACATTCATTAAAACTACGAAGCTTTTGTAACAACTTGCCATGCCATGACGCTATAGATTTTGACGGAGTCTTCGAAGACCTGCATAATTATTCATTGGTAAAAATGAGCGAAATTATGTTCAGAAAGTTTTGGAGACTGAGCATGACAAGTGTGCAAGCGTGAGCAAATTTTCTTGATCTAGCGTGACAAAAGTGGAAAAAACGGAAATCTGCAAAATGGAAGTTAACTTGAGGTTCTGGAGTGTTGGCGAGGAATCCAAAAATGAAATTGTGGTATTAACTTTTTTCTTCTAATTGTTAAACTGTGGTTGTAAAAAAATGATAGAGTTCTCAAAGAATTGTTTATGTCATTTTAATGTCCCTTTAAGATATCTTTTAAATAATGATGTGTCGTGTTAGTGTTGAGCAGTTTTCAATGCTTCGAGTACCTTTTTTTTAATGTGTGCATTTGCAGGCTTCTGGTGAACATCGAGTCTTTGTATCGAGACATTACGAAGGAGCTCTCTGACATCTACTACCAAAGCACGGTCGAAGAGTGGCTCTCTACTTATATCAGCCCATATCGCGAGAAGCTGAAGAAACTGGTCAGCGATGCAGACTTGCAAATAGCCGTTAATGTGCCTATGTGATTTGCAGACACAATTGTAGGCACCGAACATGTGTGTATTTGTGTTATCGTAATATTACTATTCTTTAATATTACATAAAAACAGTATGACTTAGTCACTAGACTGATGGACAGATTTGTCGTCTATTTTGTGGTCATCGTTCTTGGAACTGTAAGTAGATATAATATTCGTTCTTTTGTCTTGTAGAATTGTGAAATGTTCTTATGACGTAAAATGATTAACAGTGAACAGAGAGACCTGTTCGTTTAGCTTTAAGCAGACTGGGTATAAAGAATTTTAATAGTGTATGCGTGTGACTTCGCTTCCTGTATTCTCCTGAAAACTCGTCATGGTAAGTTTTTTTTTTAATGTTTTCTTCTACTTGAAGAACTTATTCTAGTTTCTAGAAAAAAAAATGGCAACCATTTTTCTGAAAACTCCTCTGCATTTTTTTCTGAAGTTTTTCAGGGTAGGTCAAGATCCATGCTGATGGCCTGACATTTTGTAAATTACTATTGTTATACTCTTCTCTATATGGTGTTATAATGGCAAGGTTTTCAGTCGGCTTAGCAATGCAAGCATATGTGGCAGTATTGTTGGTGGTGCACTCAAAGCACATCTCTTAACACACTGCAGATGCATCGACAATGATGACATGCTGCATGACAGAGCTGATGCGACAATGAAACTCATTGAAAATGCATGATTCTAAAAGACTATGGCCGTGTATACTAGCTAACTAATGTTTGGGGGTATTCCAGTCTGCATGCAAATGTAACACGAAATTTGAGGTGCATCATAAAAACGAACCAATTCTAATAGCAACAATAGAGAGTTTTAGCACTGCTCATGTAGTTTTCATAACAACATTCCATATGCAGCACTAAAGCTCGCTAATATTGCTTTGCTAGAGCGATTAAGGCAAGCTCGGCGTTTTTTTTTGCGATAATGCACAAATTTTTGCGATAATGCACTTAAAGAACATGTCTAAACTGCCAGAGTTCACCCTAAAGGTTTATTAAACGCACGCATGCACTGAAGAGTTTTCTGGAAAAATTGAATCTGTGGATAGGGCAAATAGCGTTGATACGGAAGAGTGATAATGCACATGTGTATTACTTACGGTAAATATACTATTGCATTCTCTATATGTAAGCAATGCTTTTTAGACTTAGAATGCTTTGGTTGCATGCCGCATTCTTATCGCCTGCTCGTGAGCAAAACACTGCCATTGTGTGTGTCAAATTTTTGCTCTTTATTTTATCTGTCTTTTCGATTATATATATATATTGTGTAGCAGGATCAGTGAAGTGGATAATATGCTGCTACGAACAGAGTTCAGTATATCTTTACACTTCACCTAATATATGCCTGGCTACCAGCGATCTTCTGTGTCGGTCTTTCGTGCTTCTTTTCTCCCCTTTTCTTCGCCTTTTATTTGCTTGTGCTGCTGGTTATTATGTTGATTTGCATGAAAGTCTGTTGCAGCTGTGAGTTTATTCGTAGCTTTTGGTGTTGTGTGGCAATGTGAACACGATGCAGTTTTATTGAATAAGTGGCTCTGTTATGCACTTAGTGTCATTCCAGGATAACTGTTGCGTGGAAGCAGGCTCTGCTATGGAACGGTCCAGATTTGCGTGTCATACAAAAAGCTCTGTGCTCGTTGTAGCCGCAAATGAGTAAGTACGCACAGCCTGCAATATCATGTGATCAAGTTGCGAAAATTACCTTTCTTTTGTCAGTTTGTAAATCTGTAAGAAAATGAAGGCATCTATCATAAGCAATATAAAAAGAAGAAAACAAATGTAAAACACAGCTGCCTTTATGCAGTGCTTAAAAGTTCGCAGAAACTGTTGAATTTTTAGTAGCATCGAGCTCATAGTATTTCAATAGAGAAATGAGACTTCACTCAAGAGTTATTCTTTGCCTCAAAGATTTCCTCACCAGGTCTGAGCATAGAAAACAAGTAGGCGTGGCACGTAGATCACTTAGTGGTGACTGTGTCCTCAAAGTATGCACTAAAGCCTGCATGCACCATAAAGCAAAATGAATAAAAGGAAAAAAAAAAAAAATAAAGTGAGGCTTTTCACGTCACCAGACCTAACGAGCTTTCTTGTCTCCAGCACTTGGGAAAATGCCAAAAAGTACATCGCTTGCAGACAATAGCTGAGGCAAAGGGCAACAGTGTCTACTTTGGCAGTGAAGATCATTTCCTTGAGACACGGTTACAGAACAGCTCTGTTTGAGCTTGTCCACTGCGAAGATTTCATTTCTCCCTAGACAGCAGCTTGCAACTTGCAATTTGCATCCAAGATTATCCTGCATAGGAGTGCTTTAGTGTCACTGCAGCCCCATGCTTGTTGGGCAATACGGTGCTGCCTTCAAGGCGTGTTCGATATATTATCACTGAAAGCTGTGGGCGCAATAATGTCACTGACTGGATGAAGCGAACTGTAGTTATACCTCTTTAAGGCAGGCGTAGAAGATACAAGCACAGCCCTTCAAGTTGCAGCACCCACTGTTGTGAAAGACTGAGTGCATAACATCCTAGAATCACAAGCACTGAAGAAAACAATTTATGTTGCATTGTACGAATCAAAGATCTCTTATCAGACGTACGGCAACATTGTATGTATTGTAGAAGAGGAAAAAGTGAAATTTTGTCATTTACATTGCGGTTTTTAGGCTCCAGTATGTGGTGATGTCACGGTTTCTTTTATTTTTTCGTGTAGTAGTTGTCAAGCATACATCTCATTTATGGGTACGTCCTAAGTGCACTGCAAACGCAACACTTTGCCATTTTCAGTCTTATGCATGAACTTTCTTTCCGATGCACGATAATGGAGTCCCAATTAATGGATGCAACGAAACATAATTCCAAATGGAGAAATGCATATCTTATTTTCTGTGTGTTCTTATTAGCAATAAGTATGCAAATGTGTTTGTATACTTTAGCAGAGACCTCTTGCATAACGAGTGTGTGTATACGTGTGTAGTTTGCAAAAACTAACAAATGTGCAGCCTGTGTGTTTTATACAGGCGCTTGTGTGAATGTAAATCGGAAATGCAAGGCGAAGGAGCCATCTTGTATGCTGTGTGTGTGCAAGAATTGACATTCCACAGGGTAGGCAAAAAGCCTGGACATCACCATAACCGAAACGGTGGTGTCGAGATTGGACTGGTGAAGGTAGCAGTAAGATATGTTGCTTGGTTAAAAAAAATCGTCACTTGGACTGCCAATAGAACTGCATTTCAAATCTCGCTGATGCTAGCCAAAAAGTGTGCCATTTTTTAAATGTTTCCTTTAGTGATCCTATTTTTTTCCTGCAAGCTCATCGGGAGAATGACAAGCCAATGCTTACTTATCGTGATACCGATTGGCGGTCATTTTTACATGCACACTGTGATTTTTGCTCTATAAGAGAACGATCTCAGCATGTGAAGAACTGCAGATATATAAAAGTGTTTCAATACTACAAGCATGTGTCTGTGATGTTTTTATGCACCATATCTTGTAGGTAAGTTGCAAGCTGTTTCTTGGTCCTTCAACTTCCATAGATACATATTTACTTTGACACTACTTTAAACAACCAATAGAAATAAAGTTTGAAAAGAACACTTGACTTGCAAGTTATTGCACAGTTTCAATTAAGTGCTAACATATCGATAGAGGAAAGGCTTTGTAATAAAACAAAAAGTGCTGTTTGCTTGGAATATTAATGGGAACTAATAGACACCACTGCCAAGGAAGGTATAGGGGATTTTATTAGCAGTAAATGTAACAAAGAAAGATAAGCCCTTATAATTTCCACTTCTTTCCTTTACTCACTTTGAAGCAACTCAGCATTTGATACAGGTTCTTGTGCCAGGTCACTCAATATAACTCAACATGCAACACATTGCAGCTTTGCAGTATGTCATTTGGCATTTGCTTCTGTTAACAATCTCCTCAATAAAAAATCTCTATGCCCAGAAGACAAGACCTCTAAAAGATCATTATTAGTCTTTCTCAAAATTAAAAAAAAAAGCTAGAGATAAGACTTGGCAGCTAGTATCATTGCGTAAGCATCAACGCGAGAAACTTGGCGCCTTTAGATATATTTGCTATCTATTTAACCATAGCAGGACTGAGTTTATCTCATGATTTTAATACAATCTAGTATTCCACTGATGCATGGTGAGAACACATTGTAGGGCAAACACCATGGGGTACCAACACCAGGCTTCTTAAAGCAATGGACTCTTTGAATGCTTTAGCATGAATAATAGTTTATCCACTTGTTTCTCATGCATGGACATGTTTGTGCAGTCTATGCAAATGACATTAAAAAAAAAACTCCTCTGAATTTAATAGTGTGTGTCTGTGTGGAGAAAGGTAGCTTTGAGTAAGCCAGCTACCAAAAGTTCAAAGAAGGATGCTTACTGGTTTCATACGAAAATATATATTTATAAAAAAAAAGAAATGGCAGTCCCTCCCCCCACTTTTTTTTCATATCCGGATTACTTCAACTATTGTCTTGGCAGCCATACTTCCAGTGTACATCTCTTGGTCTATAGGGTTCACCACAACACGGGCAAAACATCCTCCGACGACGCCTTTTGTCAGATGCTCTGGGTTCACGCAGATGCAACCATCCACGTCCTGCATAGCGGCATAGTACAGAACGAGGATTGAAACTATTACGGTGGAACCCCTTTACGCGCCACACTCGTGTAAGCGATGAATGGGTACAAGAGACACCAGTGTGACGCCTACCCTAAAAAAGGAGTGAATAAGACAATGCGTGTGTGGCACCCTGCTTATAAGAGGCCCCTCGTATAAAAGGTGAGAATTGCTTCCTGGTGTATGTCTCTCATAAAGGGGTCCAACTTTACTAAGATTCTGGGTTTTAAGTGTTCTCTGTTCGTCAGTAACACTCACTTGAAACAAAAGACCCACGTTTGCTTCAGTGCTTTCAAAACCATCGAGCAAACGGTCCCACTCGCTGTCAAACGAAAGTTCCGCAAGCTGTTTATGCACAGTGCTCAACTTGGTTGGCAGGGCAAGTGAACAGGGAAATGCTAAGGCAAGCTGCTCATGAAGCTCTTCGTCTTTCGATCTATCAAGGGCTGTTAATATACCGCACTACTTGAAAAAGGTTATCACCGAAAAGGGCAGTGCTGCTGCCAGGGGTTATCTTTTGCAGCTTAGGCGTCACTCCGGATCTTGCCGTTCATAACTTCAGGACATTTTATTCTACAGTTTGACTCAATTGCTTATATAGTAGTTATCTCTGCCTAAAGTTATCTAGCCAAAAATGAGCGAAATTTGCCCTATATGTGCTGCAATTCATTATGAAAGTAGGGCTGTGCAAACACAGACATAAAAAATATGTCGAGACACCACAAGTGCTATTTGTGGTGTCTTGACCTCCTTTCTTGTGTCTGTGTTTAGACGCCCTATTTTTTCTAAATGTACACTTGCCAACTAGCTCAGCCTTCTATGTGCTGCAAATTAGTGATGAGTCTACACAGGTTTAAAAATGATGGCAAAGTAATGTCAACAGTATTTTTATACTTGCCTTGGCGAACCCTCTGAGATCAGATGGCAACACTAACAAGTGCGGAGTCACGGTCAAACGACCACTATCGTCGAGATGAGACAGATCAACGTTTACATCCTCGGAGGGCGGATAGAGCGGGTAGAAACTGCACAAAAAGAAAAGTCGGGGCCCCCGTGAATCGAAGAAAGTATCTTATGTCACATCATCAAGACGTGTACCAGTTTGCCAAGTTAGTTCTGTGAAGAACAACATAAGGAAGGGATTACAGTCGAGCACGTAAAAAAAACGGGCTTAGAGAATAAAAAATGAAGTGCCTGATAAAGCAGACCTGTGACATGAGACAATGTGCAAACCTCTAAAAAATGGTCAAATAATCAGTTTTGATGCTGGCAAAAGAACTATAAATGAAATTTATTCTTTACATGGTTTGTGCATTGTATTAAAGAAAAAAAAAGTTTCTTTTCACAAGGACCGCCGTACTCCTTGCGTTTAGCTGCAGCCATGAGGTAGCACCCAAACATTCAAAGCTTTCAAATTTGCACTCAACATTTATAAATGTGGCATCACATTCTTAGCATCTAAAGCAACGAGCTCTCAGTTACTCCTGATGTTTATTATATGCTGCAAGACACGAAATCATTGTGTGATTGAATAAAACAAGAAAATAACATAGTAATATAGTACAGTGTAAAGTTGTGTAAAAATTGTACCCCTCTAAACTTTTCTAAAATATCAATAGCATACAACTTTGCAGTCGGATTAGACTGGCAGGTACTATAAAAGTGGCAAGATTTCTTTATAATTTGACCACTTATACTGCTGCATCTATTATAGAAATTTAAAGGTCACATCATATTTTGGCATATGATTCAAAGTGCAATCATAATTTTTAAGCTGTGAGCAATATCAGAATGCATAATACCAGATATTCACTTCACAGATTTACATTGCTGGTAAAACTGCTTCTCAAATTTCTATTTTCAATTCTGCTTTAAAAACTGCAAAAGTAAGGATCTCGAACAACCACGCTTAAGATTCTAACTGCCCCCACAGTTGGTATCCGTTAGAATCATTAACGCTAATCACCAACATCATGTGAGAGAGCTGTAATACACAGCACATGCGTATTCAATTATCGGATTCCTTAAACGTGCCTCGTTTCAACGTGCTTACCTCTGCTGAGACAGGATGTGCTTTGCAAGACGAGACAGTCTGTCGGACAGCTTTGGAGAGCTGGAATAGAGACAGAACCCAGGCAATTTGCCATATTAGTCTACCATAATATATAAGCATGAATGCCGAACCTTCCTGTACCATATACTTCACCTATGGAAGTAACCTACAGTGGCCTGCACCACCAAATAATAAAAAAAGGCATATTGCAGCTCAAGATAATGTATATCTTGCTTTCAAATGCAGTTTTACAATCCGCATTGCCACAAAGCCAAGCCTGTAGAAAAATATATGCACTTTTCTATCTTTTTTTACCGCAAATATGTGCAACCAACTATGGCAAGTCCCACAGCTTCCCACAAGCATGTAGAAACAGATGCCAGTACAAAACTTTCTTTTGAGCAACAACACCAAGAGCTGAGCTGGGCAACTGGACATTGCTGAATACAGAATGCAAATAGAATAATAGAGCAGCAATGACACAGTAAACATGTAAATTAGGGTGGAAATATAGTCACTCAAACTAAGTTTGCACCAGCTCCGTTCTCTTTGCGTGGCAAAGCTCTTTTTATGCCTTTGCTTTTCACAGCAAAAGTACCATTTGGGAAGTCCACACTGAAGTTGTAGCGGCATCTGACAAAGGTTTCTCAAGTGGCAGATATCAAGAAAATAAAATAAAAATCATGCACCAGCTCGCAATATGCAACAACGCAAATCAGCAGGCAGAACAGCGCATGTGATGACGGAAGTCAAAACCTTTTGGGGGCGTTTATGCCTACGGGTCTGTCGCATCTTGCAGCTGCCAGATCGTGCCAAGAAAAAAATGTTGCCCGAGGGAGACTGTGGTATATATAATTCATGATGTAGCAAATTGTCTGCACACTCCCAAATATTTCTTCTCTACTACCTCGTAAACAAATATTAAATCTCGGCTGTTCTAACATTCAGCTAAAAATATAAACTTGGCACAGCTCCCACTAAGCTGCAAAGCTGGGTCAGAGTAGAGCGGCTGGGTGCCTAGCTGATCCTTGCTTGGCTATGCTTTTCACTATGCTTCTCAAAGTATTGCTAACTGTTGCTAGGCCAATTAATATGTGTATTTACAAACGACTGCATGAAGTGCTCATGTGATCTCTCTAGTAAACCATGCTTTGGCCACTAGCTTATCAAGCAGTATCGATTAGCCGCTATGAAGTAGCACAGAATTAACATGATTCCAGGAGCCTAATCACCTAATTAAACTAGCAAGCATCTGGGCTTAGTCTCGAGTAACTCGCATTTCAAAGCCCGACCTTGGCTTCAATTAGCTAGTTAGTTAACACTAATTAAATTAGTCTTAATTAGACATGACTTGGTCACATTTCTCAAGCATCGACCTCAATAGCCACACTAAGAATTCAATTCCTACCTTAACTTTGGCAAATTAAGTAATGCCTTAATTAGCTTAACTATGCTTAGTTAAATATAAGTTACCATGTTCAACTATACCTGAAAATTAGGCTTGGCTACTATTACCTCAGCTTAACTAGGCTCACCTAAGCTTGATTTGGCGTGACTTGGCAAAGGCAAGCTATAACAGTTCTCTTTCTACAACACAGACAAACTTCGAGCATAACAGTTTTGCAGTAAAAAAAAAAGGAAGCTAGAACTCACAAGGATATCTCCTCCCTTCCCAAATGCATCAGTACATCTACACTGGTAGCCCCAACAATGTATCCACCGATGTCAAGAAGGCAAGGGTCAGGGGCACAGGTGATCTTCTGCAATCAAGCAAATACTATGCAGCAGTGATGGTAGCACAGCAAATATATATTTTTATGGTGAACATCTAATATATATTTTATGGTGAACATTTTATGAACATAGAATAATCCCAGAAATACCAATGCATGACCCACTTTATATACTATAAATCTGCACTTGAAGGCTATTTATGCTAGAAAGACTAGTCCCGATGCCGGCACTGAATATTCAGTAGGCACGCTGTCAAGCAATCCTGTCAAAGATTCTATTGAGGGCCCCTCCTTTTTTTTCTTTCACAAAATAAAAAGGATCCATTTTTTCATATAATCATAAATACACACCAGATTAACAGGCAATGAAGTCACAAACGTTATGGAAAAGACAGTTTTCTGAAAATTGAAAGAAAAGAGAACAGGTCATTGGTGGCAATTGAATACACAACCTTCGCATGACATGTGCTCTGCTCTACCAATCAAGCTAAGACTCGAGGCAAGACTTACTTTGCTACATAGAACTATGGCTTATATGTATCCGTGTATGTTATATTGAGATTCAACTGCAGCAGCTTTCAACATGCTTGGAGGAATGCACGCACCTCATATTTCTTTCCAAGTCTGAATGGTGGTGTTGGGAAGACGTAGTCGTGGTGTACGTCCTGATTAGACGGCACCAACACCACTTGTGTTCTCGTCCTGTAAATTAAAGAAAAGAAAACATGGTAACCATGAACACCACCGCAGTGCTTGTCTGGCAAACATGGCATCACGTGATCAGAAGCACGAATGATCAGCTAACACTGTACCAAATCAATCACCTGCATCTTATTTTTTCTACGTTTGAATAATGAGCAGACTGTACCGAACTAATCACCCTCACAGCTTATTTTTTCTATACTTCTTTATATCATCACAACATGCAATAAAAAGCAACAATACATATATGGAAGCCAGATTGGTAATGGTAGTATCACGAGACAGTAACATCTAGATGATGTCACCGAACTATACTTAAAATGCCAGTAAGACATTGACAAGTGCACTTGGTTTTTAGATGTTGTACATATGTTCACATAAAATCTGGAACAATTTTACATTTCAGATGTTTAAGTCATTTCCAACCATTTTGGGAAACTAAGGAAGCATAATCTCGACATGTACTATACTATTACACTCTTGAGTGTATTTTTTGTAGTTTTCGATACCTCTATCACATGGGCACTTTTGATCATGGGGTCGATCCAGTTCAGATTTCTTGATCGTAGTTAACAACTATCGCTGCGAACACTGTTCAAACTAATCCAGATCAGGTTAGGTACAGACATCAGTCAAATTCGATTAGCCGCTAGGACATTGATCTCAATGTGCAGATCCCGATAATCTTAACCCTGATCAGGCCTGATTGCAATTAAAAGTGACTGCATAATAACAGCACCTGATCCAGATCGAGCCTAATCGAGATTGCCCCAGGTCGCAATAAAAATTGCCTAAATGACATTGGTAATAGTTTTGATGGTTTGTTTAGGTTGCCTCAACTCAACACTGCCGACTGTGCAACTGGGCCTGGTATGTTCCATTTAGGTGTTTGTTTTGTTTGATACAACTTTAGTTGCAACTAGGCACTTGTTCTGAGTGTTCTTTACTCCATTTTTGTTAGTGTTGCATTATAATAACTACACCTGGACCCATAAGAACCGGTGAAAAGTCTATACCGCTTTAGCATTTTTGGTAGTGGGACACTACATTAACTAATCAAGAGGTGCATAAAGTGCTGCAAAAATACTCCATAAAACATTGAAAGGAAAAAAAGGCCATTCCTGTAGAACAAAGCAGATACATTATGGTCAACATTGAGTAAACACCAGAGCATTAATTTTGAATTGGGAAAACATACAATACTGAAAGCTGAAACCTTTAGCTCTATTCCTTGTCTATAAAGTACGAGGTTTTTACAGAAACACACAGAGTTTTGAAAGGAGCTGCAATGGCCAGCTCAAAGCAGTGTCTTGTGACCCAGTGACAAGGCTGGTCTGTGTTTTTGTTAAGTGAAACAACTTACTTTTGTAATGCATTAGCCAATGCATCAATTTGGTTTTGGAATATTGTTTCATACGTATCGGGCAAGTTTCCTTTCTGAAAATAAACAAGACATCTTGTCATGAGAACTGTTGTATGACTTCATAATGACAAAAAACATGCGTAATTATTCTCAACACACATATGAAGGAAGGGGGGGGGGGGGCATCATCGAAACATATAGCTGTGTTAATTACAAAATATTTGAGTCACAGCACATTATTTAGCATGCACTCAACTGGCAGACTCGTCTATTAATCCAACCTTTTTAGCTCAAAATGGTAGCAAAAAAAAAAAAAAAATAAGGTGAGAACACTAGCATGCAATGAGGAAAACGTTGCTCAATCTGTTGGTGAACATATAATTTTAATTTTGCTTTTCAAGAAACTTAGCTAGGCATGTAGGTTTTCAGAACTAAAGGGCACAGCACTATGTTGCAAGGTAGTAGAGTCATTATCAGATTTAGTGCTGAGATATGGAGTCTCGGGATGGCATACGTGAAGATGCAGCACTTAGCAGAAGTTCTGCATGGGCCCTCTATTCAAAATGTGACAACCTTGTGTACACAATGCCATAAGAACACTCTGTACGCAGTATTAAAGCTCGCTACTTATATGTACAAACCTGAATCAACTCGTGGCGGCTGTCCACAAATGGTCCCATCTGAAAATTAAAAAGATTATAGTCGTCTTGTAGCCAAAACTGGACATTAACTTCATCTCAGAACTGCCAGCTGCTAAAAACGACCAATTTTAACGAGAACATTACAAACACATTCGCATCTTCGCTTTACAACAAGACGTTCTTTCGCATTAATCTTTTGTGTGCACTCTATTCTTATACACCTATATTGAAAATAAACAAACGTAAGCTGTTTTATTAGACATACATTTTTACTGAACAAGCAGTGATGAGCACAAAACATGCTGCTTCCAAGTTATCTCCACAGGACAAGTTTTTTTAGAGAAACACCTAGCACTTTTCCCACTATTTAAAGTACTACCACTAGATTTGAAGTAAAATACTACCCTACTAGGTACTACTGCTAACTGCAATATTATAGAGTGCAGTGGCTGTTTTTAGGCATGGTGCAACTTCATAAATCTCAATGCCCAATGCATGCAACATCAGCCGATAAGCACTAAACTTAGCTGAGACAGTGAGATCTTTGCCACTGTGCTGTCATAAGCTTGTAGCTGTTGTATTGAGTGTGAGTGCACTAGCTGACTTAATGTCAGCTATTCAAATTAATAGTGGGTTAGGTGATTGCATGCCAGAGAGGGATTCAAATAAATTGAAATACTTTCTATATTCTAACTACAAAATAGGTCACGCTTATGGTTTTATAGCTTGTAATTAAAACCAAGCACAGAGAAAAAGTGAAACATATATTCTGGTTCTCTTGGTCTTAATTACTAAATTTATTATTACATGGTAGCAGCTTAATGCCTGCACAATGCAGATGATAGGACCAAGATTACGCAATTGCAAATGCTCCAAGGTAATGCCATTGGCCTTTATTTTAAGCATGTTTGTACTATATACACTGTCTGTGCATCTAAACAACACGTGGTACATATGATTACAACTACTCACTCCCTTCAACGTTTCTGGCTTTGATTCATAGATATATTGATTAGATGAAAGCATGAAGTATTCTTCAGCCCTGTTATGTTTCTCTACAGGATCTAGGCATATGTAAGTAGAATCGGTATTCTTGAAAAAGCAAGGAGGCCATCAACATTCAGCTGCGCACCATAATGCAAATGTGAGGCTGATGCTTGATGATGTAGGATGTGAAGTCGGCCAACGGCTCAAAGCTGAGGGTGTCAGACGTCGTGTATGGTCCGGCGGCAATCACCAAATGCAGAGGTCCTGAAATCATGTTGCATCGATCACGGACATCATTCTTCTTAAAGCAAAACAATTAACCAGTACAGTTAAACGGGCCCTGCAACACTTTTTCAGCATAGTCAGAAAGCACTGTTGATCGGCAGTCGAGGGTTGTAAGGACATGTGAGCCAATCGTTACAGCACAGCATTTAGCCTAGAATTTACAATTACTAATTTTCCGAGTCGGCTGGAAATGGTTCGTTCTTCTTCATACGAATGATGCCACGTACCTAAATGACCGCACCAGCTGCCCAAATCCACGGTCATTGGCTGGTTTGAGCATTGTCCGCTGCATAGCTACTGTGGCCATTGTGGAAGACCACTCTTTGCCCACGTGCAATTACATTTATTGCGCATTTCAAGAAAAAAAAAAAGCGCTCCATGTCATGATGCACATGTTGCATGACTTCTTTCCCCCTAGACACCCCTCCCCGCTCCTGGCTTAGCTTCCAGTACTGCTTGTCAGGATGAGAGAAGAGAGAAAGCAAACAAATCTTCTTGACTTCGCTCATACTTGGCTGATTCTAAAAAGTTTTGTGGCAGCCGATACGTGAGGCCATAAATTCTGTTAATGAAGCCATTCGATGGTGACCTTGAAAAGTGTTGCAGGGTCACTTTAAATTTTCTACATCATTAGCTGCATGTCCACAAATATAGTGTAGTCTCCTGCTTTTGTGTTTCCAATATCAATTTTCCAAAAGAATTTTTTTCAGAGAGGGCACCTCTTTACAGATTCACGAACATGTCTTAGTCACTCAGTCTGTGCCAGTGTAATGATAATCTTGACCATAAGTAAGGCCACCTATTTTCCTTTTAAGAACTGGTGACAAGAGCAGTGTTTCCAGAAATTTCATTCTCTGTATTAATCGAAGAAAATGAAACAGGCACATAAAAATGCTTTTTATGAAACACTATAAATAAATAAAGCCTCAGTTCAAAGACAACATCATTACTTTAATGTGCTACTTCAGTCTTAAAACAATCATTCTAGCAAGAGAAAACAGGGGGCAAACATCCAATCTTAAGTGTTCTAAATGGTTTAGTAAAACCACAGTAGTAGTCCCACAAAAGAAATCATGACAGCTACAAGGCATGGGAAGCTAGTAGCTTACCTTTCAGAGTCGGTGACTGGTTGGAAAGTGGCAACATTTTGACCTGAAAGAGACAAAAAAAAAAAAGGGAAGGCTTGGCAATCATCATATTAGTCACGCAAAAACACAGGCTGGCTGTCAAACATGCTAGATCTCAAATTCTTATTCGGAGAAGTGACATATGCACTGTATATATGGTTATGGAGGCAAATACTTACATCAAACAACTCCTTTAGAATGAGGGTTTTCTGAGTTGGATTGGTTCCCTTGCCAACAATAACCTGCAGCAGTATGACGAAAATAAATGCTACTGCACCACTTTCACGTTTTGCAAGTGATCATGAAATCTAGAAAGATATTAAAAGTGTCTCCGAACTAGTCCTGCCCTTTATTACCTCCATTTCGATTCTCTGAACTGTTTCACCAATGTCTGTACGTGCATGCTTAGTGTTTCATTATGAGAAAGCAGCGATTAGCTGGTTTTCCTTCAGAAATAAAACATGGCACAATAAAAAAAGGCACACATTGAAGTGAAGACAAACACTATTGTTAAACAAACACTGAAAGTCTAGGTAGAAAAAAAGTTGAAGGGACAGTGCGTAAAAAAAAAAGAGTGCCATCTATTGTTTTGCACCAAAAGATAACAGTCGCTGAGAGATTCAGAATGAAGACAGCTAGTGTCTTGCTCGATCGCGCCCCCAAATCGAAGTACATCTTCTTTGGATTCCACCTCCATTAGCACATGACAGCAGTGGCCAAACGTTGAAACCACATCATCATGCTCAGCAGCAAACATTGCATCCAAGAAACTGAAGCAGCAGGTGACTATTGCTACTAGTGTGACTGACTTCATCCTGGATAGGACTGCTTTCAACTTCTGTGTTTATGTAAATGCTATCCTACAGACTGTATTGCTGTACCTTGTCTGTAGTAATGATCATAGAGAATCACCATTTCTCTCAGGCAATTCTACGTGAACATTGAAAGGGATTCTAGAGATGGATTCTAGAGATGCAAAGCTTTGTCAAAGCTTATTAATTCAGCACTCTATTATAATGCCAATTGTTTTCATCACCCTTAACCACTCATGCAACAGTTTTTCTAGGCAACTTAAAGACTGTGTCTGCATTCAAAAGGCGTAGATGCAGCCAAGATTTCAGGATTTCGATTGTGTATTTATGAATGCGTGTACACTCCTGCCCCCAGTCTACGCTTAATATGGGGGGGGGGGGGGGGCTCTGTTATACTGATGTCAATACATCTAAAGGACCTAAGAGCAATAATACTTTAGAGTATGAAAAATTGTAAGTATCAAGGATTTTCAAGGAGCCATAAAAACCTTACTGAAGCAAGGTAATTCCGACAAGAAAACCTGCAGGGCACATTCTCTTATGTTAGGTTTGCAAAAGTTTATTATGGCTTAAGATGGTCTACACACCCAGAGCTACAGCCATCCATTGCTGAACCGTCCACAAGAGCGGTAAAAATAGATGCCCTAACCTCGCTTTCTAACAAACGGGCACACAAACAACTACTGACAACTATACTGACAACTATTCAAGAGAACGCAAGAGAACGTTGAACTACCTGACCAGGAAACAGCGAGTACTGCTTCAACTTGGAAACGTCCAGCTTGACGGACTGACCGTTGCTGGTCTCACTACCTTCGAGGATCAGCGAACTTGCATTCATCTTTCCACAGCTATCGCACAGTACTCTTCCTGTGACAAAACTGTCCTCCTGCAGAGTCAAACAGCGAAAGATATGCACTGCTGCAATGAAAAACTCGTCAAGCGTAAAAGGCCTAGGCAAGTAATATTGGTTAATTGAAGTTTCCCACACATGTTCCCAGTATGCAGCATCCCTACCTGAAGGTGAAGCAATCTTTTACCTAAGAGGAGTGGAAAAGACCTGCTCACAAGGAAAAGAAGAAAGAACAAAATATATATGTTTGAGTAAAGCCACACTTTTTTTGTGCGTGTGGTCTGAAGAGGTGCAGCCCTTGTATGAATCTAGGCAATTTATACCAGGTGCTGCCATGTATAGTTCTCACAATCCTCTTAATTAAGTGGCAAAGTCTATTGTTTGCGTAATGCACTTTGTTCATATGGTTGCCATGCATTAGGTGCCCATCTAGATTTCACTACTGCAGCCGCTGCCACTGCTTAGGTCACTAGAAGCACTAGAAGCAAGCAACTAAATGTAATCTCATCTACATTTAGTTGCTTGTTTCTAGTGCTGACGCGGTATGCCGACTTTTACTTGTGTTTATTTTGGTAGCGTGGACACATCTTTGCAATAGCATGCTTCAACTATCAAACCTACAAAACCAAATAGAATAATAGAAATAGAGCAGACAGAATAGAATAGTATAGAATAGAGCAAATAGAATAGAGTGCAGCTCACCAGAATGAGTTCAGAAATGTTTGCAAAGGCTTCTTTCTCATCCATCTCTTCCTTCTGGTAGTACTCTGCCAGGTCACTGGCAGAGTCCCATAGGCACCCAGCTTTGTCCTTCATCTTTTCGAACATGTACATGACATCAGGCTTGCAAACAGAGCCAGCGTAGGCTAGACAGACTTGCACATCGAGGTCATTGCTACATGTCCACACGGGTTTTTCGTGGTTATTTAGGTGTGCAACTACACCGCCCGACGTAGAACGTGATGAGTACTTTACAGACTGGTTTATACTGAAACAGAGAGAGATACATTAGCTGAGTGAAGCATTCACAAATGCTAACGTTGCAATTATATGAAAAAAAAATGAAGAAAAATCTGGGCTGTATGCTTCGTAAATGACCTTTTCTTCATTCCCAATAAAATCGCTTCTCTGGTCTAGCTATCCTATTTTCAGTAAAGGTGGAGTACGTTGTGCTCAAAATGAGCCGAAGATCAAACTTTTGTAAATATCTAGAACATCAATTACATAAGTGCAAATGTACAAATACAGTACTATTTGTCTTACTTCCCTCTATTGCTTAACTGCAGCTTTTTTTCTCTCATATTTTGCTATATATAAATAAAATCTCCAGCTAAAAACCACTGTGTTGTTTACATTCTTGGGCAGCATGTATGTGCTGCACTGCATATGTAAAACTCATATAAAGCTTTTGCTTAGGGCCTTAAACACCGAATATCACCACTCTTGCATTTAAGTCAGTGTTGGCACCAGCAATAATCTAGTTCCAATAATCCTTCAAAGTAATGTCTGGCTCCAATTTTACACCAACAGGGTGATTATCAAAAGACAAAACGAACATGAAAGTTCCTTATTTTAAACAGTGGCTCAGTGTATGTTCTTAGTACCATCTGATATGTTCACTCTTTGACTTCTATAGAAAACACTGCAGTCATCCTTTGTTGATAAAGAAGTTCAGAGGGACAGAGAAGACATTATAAAAGGTTGTAGCGTTGAGCTGAACTGGTGAGGGAGCTTCATGGTGTCATTGCGATGTGTCTTTGAGTTTGGTATATTTTCCTGCTTACTGAGCCTTTCTTTATAGTAAGAGTCATTTTTTAGCGTTATAATAACACCGTTTCCTGTCAAAGCTGACACATTTTCGTCTATTGGCTCTTTTAGCCTTACAAGGCGGCCTTTTGATATCTGTAAGATCTCAGTCAGTGCTTCACCATTTTGGAGAGAAAGATGCAGGTGAGAAGACAACGGAGGGGCTCCCACTGGACGACGCGAAGCGCTTACTAACAGGCACTTCAGGAGTTCTTTGGTGCTTCTTCAAGCTCTAGAATAAAGAATTATAGAAATTGATAAGGGTTCAATTCTATTGAAATTGTCCACATAATCATTTGGGGAAACAACATGCTCTAATAATAAAGAAAGAGTAGTCCTCCGTACCTCTTTGCTGGCACCATAGCTTTCCAGGATTTCATCACCAGTATCATAATTATTACTGAAAAAGAAAATGATCGAAATGTAATATGGCATTTATAATTGCAATCCACTTCCCTGCTGTGAGATAAACAAACAAGAAGTAATGTGAATGACAAAGGTTAAAATTTAAAGCCTGTGCAATATCCTGTGGTGAAGGTGTATGGTGCAATAGTGACCATATTCAGGTACTTTAACTGGAGCCAAAATCGCAGCAAAGGCTAATTATTCTTGCTCAATAACACAATACTAATTGATAAAGTTTAACATCCCAAAACCACGATATGACTATAAGATACGTCGCAGTGAAGGACTCTGGAAATATCGACCACCTGGGGTTCCTTAACGTGCACCTAAAATCTAAGCAAATAATCCTCAAGCATGCTTGATAACACAGCTGATGTGACTAAATGTGCAGCAGTGAAACACTACATGCTGAACCACAACATGAGAATACAGTTGCAACATTATGTCATGCTTCCCGTAATTCGGGCACAATTACTAATGCAAATAGTCAAAGACAACAGAATGTGTCACAAATCTAAGCTTTTTAGGGGTGAATAGTTTAGCTGCATGTTAGCAATGCATCTAGCCATGAAATGGCAGCTAAACTTGCCTGGACTGTATGCTACATAATTTCATAAGGCATTAGTGCTGCTCTTGCTCTAGTGCCAATGCGTATAGAAGAAATATGTGCGAACGCTTACTTGTAGTTAATGAATTGTTAAATTAAGTTGTGGCTGCAAACGTAGCTTCACGCCCAAAATTTAATAGAAAAGAGTGTTCATTTCAACTTATGTAGTCGCTCCATGTTGATCAGTGAAAAGCAGTGTCGTTGCTGTAAACGTCGCTGGACGGCTTGAATGTTTATCGATATATACGTACCTGTTTGAGTTGGCAGTGAATATCCTCGGCACAGTTTTTCTCGAAACCGGCGTCTTAGCAGAATATTTTGAGTTGTCCTTGGCTAAAACCTAGCATGAGGTACAACGTGCGACAAAGTTCGTAAATTAGCAACGTGATTAGCAAAGGCGATCTCAAATTCGGTGCTTACCTCCTGTTCCATTTGATCTAGCAGTGCCACGGTCATATCGCCAACGTGGATGCCCTTCTTAATGCTGAAAGCAATCCATGATGAGGCGATCATCTCGGGTGCCGACTCGTAAACGAGACATAACTCGCTCACTGCATGAAAGAAGCGCGTCACAGAATCAAGAAACCAAGTTTCCGCATCTTGGAAGGTTCGCAAAAGAACGCGAAGGAAAGGACTGAGCATTCTCACGCTTCGATAGGCAACTGGGAGTGATTTCCTCCACCCCAAACACTCCCAATTCATCCAAAAACACTTCCTTGTTGTCTCCAGAGCCACCATTCCCCGACGAGCTTCCTAAAATTGTCCACAGACATTGTGTCCGCACGGGTTACCTAAAGCGCGCCTAAAAACGAAACCTACACAATGCTTTTTCCCGCGAATAGTGTCGCTGTTGATAGAAACTCTATGGATTGGAACGACCCAGCTATCAGCAGTTTTTTGAGGTTCTGAGGGTCATTATTCTGAGTCATTTAGAAATAAAAATATATGCAGTAGTGTGCTTCGTTAGTTGAATACAGTGGTAAAGCTGACGTTTATATCAATAAAGCAGTTACAGCATTTCGCAGGCATTTTTAGACAAACCACAGAGCCACAAGCAAGACAAGACAAGTCGATTAGCGCGCTGATCTTGCACAAGCCGGCCTTGTGGTGAACTTAAAACAGTCAGTTTAATGAATATTGGTAGCTATGTCAGCTCTGCTGAGTGATGTATTATCGTTGAACAAACCTTTAGCGTTCCAGTTAATACGGGCATTAAGCCCCAATGAACTGTGGAGAAGCTTACGGTCGGTTATTCCGGACACCCACCTAAGCGCTACCTTCTCGCCGTGTTCTGCCGATGATCTGGTGCTCGCTTTGCAGAACAGTTTTGTCTCACTCGGCGAGCTCGTAAAGTGGCTTGAACTTAGTCCACGCGTTCGACGCCTTGCTCCTCTTGAAGCCCGACGAGCCTGTGGTGATACGAGAGCATCCGCAACCGCGTCTCCAGCTGGAATCTCGAACCGACGCGGTGCTGCGACTGACGTGCCGTGCCTCGTCCTTTCCGCCACCCAATTACCAATGGTTTCGCGACGGCCAGCCACTCTTCTGCGACGAGTCGGTCTACACGAGCCCTGTGCTCGAAATCCGCAACCCGACTCCGGCGCATTCTGGAATTTACACTTGCCGCGCCTGGAGCGTACGGGGCTCGGAAAAGTTCTCAAAACCGTGTAAAGTCACCGTCAAGCTGCCCGCTTCGTGCAACAGTGGTTCAGCGGAGTCAGCGCCTCTTTCCGCGACCGACAAGGTCGCCTTGATTATTAGCAACTCGGCTTACTCGTGTGGTGACACGCTACCCCTCACCGAGAACGACGCGGAAAGCCTGGGCAAGGCGCTTGCGGCGCTAGAGTTCCGCATTATAGCGTTCAAGAACCTGCGCAAAGGTGACATCGCGTACGCACTTGGAATATTCCGGCAATTTCTCAAACCTGGCTCGTACAGTGTTTTCTACTACGCGGGCCACGGATTCAAAGAAGACGGCCGGGACTACATTCAGCCGGTAGATTGCGACGACAACGCACCCGCCGACGATTGCGTCTGTTTCCAGGAGATTGTAGAAGAAATAAGAGCCGCTCCTTGCAGCCTCAACCTGATCATGTTGGATGCTTGTAGAGACACCCGGGAGCTGCCGAGCTCGTCCGCTGTCGGATCGACTTTGCGGATCAATGGGGCCAGACCGCAACACATTAGGAGAAGCACAATCGTCGTTTACGCAACGTCTCCGTGCACTTCAGCCGTCGAAGTGGATGGCCATCCGAACGGCCTCTTTATGGAGCACTTCAGTAAACATGTAGGCGAGACGGCCAGTGTTCACGAGGTGATCCTCCGAAGCCTAAAGGATTTTGAAAGGCACAAGCTTGCCAGCATGCAAGTGCCTGTGGTTAAGTATGACATCCCGGGTGATCACTCCCTCAGTGATCCCATTATAGACAGTCCATTGTACTACGAAAACAAACGTCTTTGGTTGCACATTAGCCGTCTACCACAAAACAGGAAGTTTCAGGTTGGTGTCACCGAGCACACCTTACACGTTGAGTTTTCGTGCGAAAAAGAAGTTTTTTGCAACAGCATGGTAGTCGTTGCGTCTGTCGTGCCTCATATTCCGAACGTCCATGTAGATTTGCGAACAGTGGAATGCCGTGGTGGCACTGTGCTGCGTCACTCCAGTTCTGTTGTTACTGTCTGTAACTTGCAGAGTGTGACATCACAGGTGTGCTTCAATGTTGTTTTAAGGGATCTAGACTTGGGACGCACCCTGTACCACAGGAACATTAACTGTGGCTGGCCTCTGGTTTCTGCTTGGCGTTTTCGTGATAGCGTTATCTGCATTGACTGATATTTCTTACAATATGGCTTAACTCAGAAACAAGGGAAGTCATAGTCATCTGTTCCTAGAACTTATGAACCTTGTGCAGTTGGGGAAACTTGTTTTTTCTGTCATTTCTGTGTGGTCATTTCTGTGTGTTCTTGCTGTATCCACATAACAGTTCATGAATGCTGGTAAACGTTGTATTGCCAAAATGTACTTATATCACTTTACATTAAGGTACTTACTTATAAAACAACTTCTTATAAAGAAACTGACCACAAGACACTTGCAAATGCTAGCAATTTTATCCAAGTGAGGCGTATAGTTAGGCATGTTAAAGTTGTTATTTGTTGGAATGCAATTAACTTATGTCAAGGAGACAACAGGGTTATTGTTTGGTATTCCTATCACATTCTGAGTTGCTGCCCACACACTTCTCCCCTTATGATAAACAATTTTGTTAAATTACCTGACGAAGTGCCTGGAAGCTTAGTTTCCGTGCAGGAGCATTTATAAAGTATACTAGTCAAGAATTGCTGCTTGTATCCACGAGTTTTCTAGAACCTGAATATCTTTTGGGAGGCCATACTATTTTTCACTAAAAATTCCATTGCCTCACACAACTGCTCTGAAAATCCAGTAAATGGGTAATCAGAAACTGTTGACAAGCTTTCACAAGGCATCTCAGTTACTAGAAAAACGTTGTATTTGCCTGGGCTTTGTTTGATTATTATTTCTCCTTTTAGCATAAAGAAATACTTGCCCTACTCTTAGAATATTTAGGTGCTGTGCCTGAGCGTACTTGTGTGGCCACTGATGTGCGCCATGACCATGCCGGAAATAACATGTGAATGCCAAGAATCCATACACTGGTTCTGCCATCTGGTTAAACTAAAGATAACTTCGACGGGCTTTGTTTTATATAACGGACATGACAAAGCTAAGTTGCTCTCAGTGCTGCTTATATTTGACATTTTCATTTTATGCTGTGCTACGAGCCACCCTTGACCATCTGTAATAGATGGAAGCATGTCCGTTGGCACAATGACAAAACTAACTGAAAGTTCTTAGTATAAGTGCATGTGACTGAGCTAATAGGTGTGTGCATTGGGTGGGAGAGGGACGGCCATAGTTTATTGCAGAGGCCTCAAATGTGGCCCGCAGACAACTATTTAGCAGCACGTGGCCCGAACATGGTCATATGAATATTTTATATGAGGATTGTTCATAAGCTACACAGGCATGGCTGGTCTTAGGCATTTTTTTTTTTGTTAGGCATCCCTGTGGTCACCACGTTTTGATATATAACCATGGAACGAAACTCAAAATCGGGTGTGGCAGCTTGTGCTAGTTGGAATGGCATGACGATAGCGCGAGAACAAAACGACGACACAGAGACAAGAAGGACACGAAAGACACGAGCGCTTGTGTCTTTCGTGTCCTTCTTGTCTCTGTGTCGTCGTTTTGTTCTCGCGCTATAACTATCGTCATGTCAAAATCGGGGTTTAGATTTTCATCATTTTAAAGATTGAGATCAGTACCCATATGGAATACAGGCCCCATGTCCCCCCCCCCCCCCCCGCCCCAGAAATACTTATATTTAATATGCAGGAAGGGCCTTTTAAATGGCAACATGAGATGACAATTTGTACAAACTCCTCCCACCTCCCCGCGTTGCCTTCTCCACTGTTCTGGCCTTTGCAGGATTAAATTTCCATCACTACCGCCCGCTAGCTAAAACGAGTTTGAGACCCCTCGCCTATTGGGTAAGGGGCTAAATGAAATTGTGTCTTGCAAGTTTAATTAATAATGCAATAGGGCTAAAGAGCTCGTTTCGCAGAAATTCCGCAACGGTGTCTGCAGCATTGGTTGTGAGCGAAAGATCGAGAAGGATGCAAAAAAATAAATGTCATTCCAGGTTCGAATGAAGATTGAACCCAGGTCGTTTACGTGGCAAACAGATGTTCTACCACTCGGCAGCGTCTCTGCTTGAAAATGGTGTGAAAATGACTTCCACTGCATTGCAATGTAGTGAAATTAACTCCTGTTTTGCTAACACACGCGTCCTGTATACAGGCCTCACAATATAATGTGTAATATCACAGTAATATTGCGTGGCACAAGCATACATTGTCATCGGGCATCAGAATGTGTAGTTATCCTAACAAGTTCTTTGTTCAAAGCCTGCCCCCCCTATTACAGAAGGCACACAGATTACTGCGTGTATTCCTTTAAGATCAGTAGTGGGTGCATAGCAAGATTGAAACCATTTTATGCTCATAATTGCTTGTGGTTTTAAAGAACGCTACCCATTACACAGAATGCAATCACAACTAAAAGCCTCAACGACACAAGTCACTTTCAACACTTTTAACTGTATCGATTACATTGTTGTAATTCACACCTTAAACTTCTCGAGCAACATTATACAATATAAAGTATGCACCAAGTGGTGGAAGTACGCACTAGGTGCAGAATATTGCTATCATGTAAACTCTTAAAGGCGAAGCTTAAGGGTGCCCCGTTTTTTTTTTTTTGCAAGCAACACATGATAGGTCATATATCTGACTTGAAAAGAACTAACCATGAAGGTGTGTGGTTGGCTGCATGCATTTACCAGCATTGCATACCAGCCTAGGAAAATGCTTGTTTGTATTTGCTATGCTTAACATTACAATTGAACTGAAAAATTTTAATTGAAATTCTGGTTCTACCATAAATAGTCATGCATATTGTGTCATTGCAATCTCTTGCTGAGAGGACACCTTGCACACATTTTACTGGGTTCTTTATAAAGTGCAGATCACTTTGGGGAGCTAAGTAAGTGAATGCTGTCGTAGCTTGGCTACAGCAGCATGAACCACATGGAGTATGCACTTGTGCCAAATAGAGACCTTCTTCCTCTTGTTCTTTGAGTGCCTTGATGATGAAAGAATAGAAATAGAAAAAAGAGAGAACAAAACGAGAGAAAACCAAATAGAAACGAAGAGGGCTGCCCTGCTCTGCATTTCTATCAGGCTTGCCACTACTAGCGCAAGCTGCCTTAATTTTCTAGGTAGTGCATTTATTGTGCTTGCAGTGATGATACCAAGAAATAGATGTTGCATTCTTAGCAAATGAAACTTTTTAAGACCTTTTCGCTCTGGCAAGCTTTTATAGTGCCAAGCATGCTCACCGATATCGAAAGAACGGTGTTGGCATGCGACAAAACTTTCTATGGCACCAGTGTTGCATACTGATATTACAGTAGGCCAATCCAAGACTAATTACTGTTTATTTTGATCTGTGTCTCTTAGCTTTTCAACATTTCCTCAGTGTTTGCTTTCTTTGGCTTTGGCCATTCGCAGCAATCTCCTCGCACCTGCCTGCTGGTTTAATGAAGTACATTGACTATGTTTTTGTGTTTTACTTTACAAAAACTGCTCTCTTCTAGATTTCTTTCTCTGCAGCTAGTGGTGTATATAAGATTGCATGATTTTGTAGTTTAGTTTTGTGTAGTATTATGTGACCACGAATACATGCACGCATAGGAAGACAGGACAGGGTTCCTAGTTGAACTCTGACAAAATGAATAGTAGTTTTGAGAATGTACATCTGCATTTTGCATGATTATGTATGATTCTGGACATCTCAACTCCTGCCTTCGTTGCAAAGCCCTGGTGCCAGCATCGGTTATATGAGTGTCATACTGGACCTCATACTGCACTCCACAGTTTCCACTGTGATCCTTCATTGTTGGTAATAATTACCTAGCCTCGAGCACAGTGTGAGTAGCTTTCAAGCATTACTGCAAGCTGCTGAACCATATGTCGCCCATGCTCTTCTTCCAAGCATAAGACGGGTGTACAGAGCTTTGATCCTTTCACAATTGTGAAGTGGCAATGACTCAACGAAAATGAAGCCCTAGTGCTTCACTGCATCAAGAAGGTCCAGATCTACCATCCTCATGAGCACAAGTGCTACATATCAGCTTATCGCTTCTGGTGTTGCTAATACCCACATTGTTGTTAGCATTATTATACAACTGTGAAGAATTGGTTATACTAAACATGTGCGACTCTTCAGTGTTCAACATATGTCTGTGCTTACAACATTTGTACATAATTTTAGCGTCATTTTGTCTCCTTTTTGCTCAATAAAGAAATTGCAGTACAGCTTCCCTCTGCATGCTTCACATAACATTGATTACCAAGGTACGTGGGATCTGCTAAATTTCTCATTCCAGCTGCCAGTAAGTGGGGAAACTTTAATTTTTGTTGTTTGTGTGTATGTGTAACGAGTACGTAGTCACACTTTTTGCTGTCTTTCAGACTACCCTGTTAAACTTCAGTGCAAGTTGTGTTAACACCATGGTAAGAACGGTAAACATGCATATTGGTGGGATATAACAGGTTAAGCGAAGGGTTGTATGAGACAATGAATATTAAGGTGTGTCATAAATTAATATCGCAGTCTTAAATTATTAAAAATTAGTATGAGCAACAATTAGTAAAATGCTTCTGCCAACTCACACGAAATTGATGCGAGTCTTTGCCGCCAAGAATGGAGTACTATTAAGGCGAAAGCTTTCGATGCCTCGCCAAGTTCGATAAGTGGCCGTCGGTATCAACAGAAATACACTGAAAAGCAGTCTAAAAAGTGTAGGCCTTTATCACCTATGATAACGCTCAACTTTTGTCTGACGTCTTACCTTGAAGCGAAGAACCTTCCGAGCTAAATATTTCCCTGATGCGTTTGCTTCCCCGCAGTATACGTCGAAAAGCAGTCGAAAAAGTTGAGGCCCTTATCACCTATGATAAAGCGCAACCTTTGTCTGACGTCACACCTTGGCGCGAAGAACCTTCCGAGCTAAATATTTCCCTGATGCGTTTGCTTCCCCGCAGTATACGTCGAAAAGCAGTCGAAAAAGTTGAGGCCCTTATCACCTATGACAAAGCTCAACCTTTGTCTGACGTCACACCTTGGCGCGAAGAACCTTCCGAGCTAAATGTTTCCATGATGCGTTTGCTTCCCCGCAGTATACGTCGAAAAGCAGTCGAAAAAGTTTAGGCCCTTATCACCTCTGATAAGGCACAACTTTTGTCTGACGTCACACCTTGGCGCGAAGGACCTTCCGAGCTAAATATTTCCCTGATGCGTTTGCTTCCCCGCAGTATACGTCGAAAAGCAGTCGAAAAAGTTTAGGCCCTTATCACCTATGATAAGGCTCAAGTTTTGTCTGACGTCACACATTGGCGCGAGGAACCTTCCGAGCTAAATATTTCCCTGATGCGTTTGCTTCCCCGCAGTATACGTCGAAAAGCAGTCGAAAAAGTTTAGGCCCTTATCACCTATGATAAGGCTCAAGTTTTGTCTGACGTCACACATTGGCGCGAGGAACCTTCCGAGCTAAATATTTCCCTGATGCGTTTGCTTCCCCGCAGTATACGTCGAAAAGCAGTCGAAAAAGTTTAGGCCCTTATCACCTATGATAAGGCTCAACTTTTGTCTGACGTCACACATTGGCGCGATGAACCTTCCGAGCTAAATGTTCCCATGATGCGTTTGCTTCCCCGCAGTATACGTCAAAAAGCAGTCGAAAAAGTTGAGGCCCTTATCACCTACGGTAAGGCTAAACTTTTGTCTGACGTCACACCTTCGCGCGAAAAACCTTCCGAGCTAAATGTTCCCATGATGCGTTTGCTTCCCCGCAGTATACGTCGAAAAGCAGTCGAAAAAGTTGAGGCCCTTATCACCTATGATAAAGCTCAACCTCTGTCTGACGTCACACCTTGGCGCGAAGAACCTTCCGAGCTAAATGTTCCCATGATGCGTTTGCTTCCCCGCAGTATACGTTAAAAGCAGTCGAAAAAGTTTAGGGCCTTATCACCTATGATAAGGCTCAACTTTTGTCTGACGTCATGCCTTCGACGGTCCGGATACGCGTATATTTAGTTGCAAAGCAGTAAGAAATGACCAAAAATATTTTCTCGCGGTCTGTCTTACTCAGAAGCCAACTTCTTGTCCCAGCTGCTCGCAGAGAACAAATTTTTGGTGTGGCGTCAGACTGAAGTTATGCATTAACATAGATGATAGAGGTGGTGTCGAAACCAATAATATTTCAACGGAGAGGCGACTATTGCTTAAAAAAAAAAAAAAACGTTTGGGTCTTTATTGCGGTGAAACAAATGCATGATGGGGAAGTTTGACTTTTAAAGTTCCTCTGCGAGGAATTGGCAAATCGTGCATTAAAATAGAAACAATTAGCAAAAGGTATGAAGATACTTCGATAATAATAATAATAATAATAATAATAATAATAATAATATTATTATTATTATTATTATTATTATTATTATTATTATTATTATTATTATTATTATTATTATTATTATTATTATTATTATTATTATTATTATTATTATTATTATTATTACGACGGGATAATTCATTTAGAAACGGGATATACTTTCCAAGGTTTCATTAATAGCGTCATAGGCTCATGTTATTTTGGCAGCAGTGCATCCACAACAACTTTATTAAAATCGAATGAAATCTTTAGAAATCGATAAATACATTTCAAAAGGCTTGCCTTCTTAGTACACCCACTGCCAGTTTTACTTACATGACTTGAACTTTTTAAGAACCATCAAATTAATGCACAATTTCCAAAGGCATGCAAGGCTTGACTGAAATTCAGTCGAACATACAAACACAGGCAAATTTATTAAAATGTCAAGAACCTTTCAAAAATGAGTAAAAAAAGCTAGCGAACATTAGAAGCTACAGGCTGGCTAAGCAACCACCACTTGTATAGACATTTTCAAAGGGGAGGGAAAACGCCCCCGATGGGCTGCGTGAGAGTACAAAGGGCTGACGTCACAGCCTCGGCAGTTCATTTTAGGGTGATCACGCCTGTTAAGCGCTGCACCAATCGAGTTATGGTGGTGCCCAGGAAGGGTTTATACAGCACGCGCCAAATAGCTATACGAGTACTCCCTTGACACAATAAACGCAATGAAAACGTGCTAGGCTCCAAGATAGCTAGTAGAACGCCCTGGGCCTGAAACTTCGATGAAGGAAGAGTGGGTTGAACGGCCCGAACACCTCGTCGGCGGCGCTCTTCCAGTCAGACGAGTCGAAGTAGCCGTACTGAGGCGCACCAGACGGTCTTCTGAGGGCCACGAGTCCGCCGGTGTTCACATCGGGGTCCTTCAATATGTCCCAAATGGTGCGCTGCTTACTCCAGCCCTTGTCGTCTTTGGAGGCCTGAATGGCCTTGTTTGCGTGCCTCTGCCACGCCGCGAAGCTCGCCGTGGGCTGAGTTGGCTGCGGTGCGACCGCCGCGCGCCGCCTTTGGTACAGGTAGATGAGCCAGCGCACGAATATCTCCAAAATCTCGAAGATGACTAGAAAAGAGAGGCCCAAGTACATGCCCATAAAGCCGCCCACGTTGCTCAGCGTGGTCGCATCCTGCACGTGAGAACAATTGAAACAATTAGACAGCGTTTGCGACAAAGTGAGACAACGAATTAGTAATACACCGACAGCACGTCTCTGGCGAAGCATTTTAGCGAGTCTTAGTTCACGCTCGCATCCGTAGGTACAGAAGACACTTACAATATGTCATGTAATCCCTAGACTATAGCCGCCTGGAACACACGCATCCACCTTTAAGCATGACATATTAGGCTAATTCATTTGTGCGTAAAATGAGCGTGCTTTTCAAGTTTCACTGCACCTGGACGCGTCCTTCGCGCCTTGACATATCTCTGAAAGTTTCGAAGCTCCGCGGGCATTCGAAAGTGGGCGAGCCTCCTTAACAAGCCCTTTGGACCAAATCCATATAATAAATTAAACTACGTCCCCGAGCGCGCGTAATATTGTACCTCAGCAGCGATCATGCGCGCGATTTTCGAACGTTGGTCTACCTTCTCGCTAAACAATCACGCTGCCAATCTCGTGGCAGGTACTTGCATCTCGGCTAGCAGAATATCGATCTGAAAATCCAACCGCCCAATCCGCGAGAATTATATTCTTCTGAGAGCGTCACAGCGCTATCTCGACGTTTCACTGCTCTGTTAAGAAACAGCTGAGGTTGCAAAATCGGCGTCTTCAGCTTGCATTAGACACTTTCGAATGGATCGACGGCAGAAAAAAAAAAACACAAGATGTTTCTCACTCACTTCAGTAGCTTGCTGGCCAGAATCGACAGTTAGTCGAGTGCTGGATCAACGCTTGGTTTAAGTTTCGAGAACCGCTTCTACCATGGCGCGTACATGTGGGCGAACTGGCGTGCTTCCATGTTGACGATTTGGTAGCTCAGCTCAGCGCTAACAGAGATGTAGGATGCGCACGTACAAGCGCATATTCGCAACCCAAACAGTATTGAAAAGAAAAAAATGCGTAATACAAAAGTACAGCGTCAAGTGCAAATCACCTGGATCGACAAGACTCACTCTGTCCGCCTCGGTGGAACAGTGCTCGGCTGTTGACCCGCAGATGGTCACGGGTTCGATTCCGGCCACGGCGGGCACATTTCGATGGAAGCGTAATGGTAGAGGCCCGTGTGTTGTGCGATAGAACACGGGACGGTCGAAATCTTCGGATCCTCCACTACGACCGTTACATATATCGTGTTGTCAATTCAGGTGGAGCACTTGGAGCTGTACTTTTTTTATTACACATCTTTCTATATAGTTCCAACTGCGAGTATGCGCATGTCCGGGCATGTTCTTTCTTCGTTTCTGTTGGCATTGCGATACGAAATCGTCAAAACGGTATGACGGCTGCCATACGCGCCGCCAACCGCGCTGGTGTCAGCGACCTCGCGACGCGTGTCTCCCTAATGAGCTCATCGGCACAGGCGGTTCGTCACGCGAGCACATGGCCAATTTGTTCGTTCTCGGCCTGACATCCCCGACGAAGCGAAAGCTCGTCGTTGGTTAGGTCGCGTCTGCCTCCGGAACTGCTTGAACAAACAAATGCCGCAGATGCAAAAAGATCCAAGAGTGAGACCAAGGAAGGCGGTGGATGACCTCCGCATCTCTCCTCCCTTATACGAGATAACGCAAGCTCGCCTCACAGCCATAATACGGCATAGAAATTGCTTAGAATGAAGGCGAGACAGTGTCGTGAAGGGCGTCATGAACTCGGCCTAAACAGTTGATGCCTTGTATTCTGTCCAGTGTAGTAAAGGTGCGTGTTTATGGGACAAGCTTTCCGTGTTAGAGCCTTCGCATTTATCTTGTGGATGCTGTTATGACCGCCATCGGTAGGCGCCATGCTGTCGCTGAAAAGCGTAGCCGGGCCGCGTTCCCACGCCTGGAACCCAGGTTTTCTTGGAACCAGCGTCGAGAGCTGACGGGGGAGCGGCGCTCTTTTAATCCTCAAACAAGTAGCCGACTCGCCGAATGTCTATGCCCGCCAGGTATTGTCCCTGCTAGCCGGCGGATGAGACGTCACGTCGCCACGAAGTGGTAAGCCGTTCCAGAGGGGACAACAAAGACAGCGTATTCCTTTGAAGAAACGGCGACCGCCGCCACAAAGTGCCCTGCTAATTGAGCGGACAGATTGGCGGACCGTTTGATGTCTGCTGTCCGAAGCTTGGGACCCCTCGACCAGCGACATACACGACGAGCAAGAGCCTCTCTGGCGCCACCTTTAAGTGCAGTGATCTTGACTCGAAATTGGGTGTTCACGTGCGCCGTGCATGCTCGTACCCCTCACCTGTTGTGTGTGTGTGTGTGATTGGTGTTCCACTGAAGAAGGAGGAGCCCGACAGGGCTTATAACGGCGCCGCAGGGTGCAGGACGTCGCTCTGAACCAAGTAAAGGTTTAACCACCACGCTCGTGGTTTGTGAACTCTTAACCCCATGCTGTAAATATTTGTAAATAGTGCCATAAACCTTGTTTGTTTTTCGTATCCCCATCTTGTAAGCGGTCGTTTCCTCAACCCGAAGCTACACCACGCTACCACAGCACCCCGGGATCACAACAACTGGTGATCAGCGGTGGGATCGCGACAACTGGTGGCAGCGGTGGGATACGACCCAGCACCCCGAGTTACAACAATCGGTGGCAGCGGCGGGATACGACGCAGCACCCCGAGTTACGACAACTTGGTGGCAGCGGTGGGATTCGAAGCTACAAGTGACAACAACAGTCGGCCCAGGAGAAGCAGCTGGCTCGAGACATGGATCACGTTTGGGTGAGTGCTTGGCTTTTCCTTTGAGTGAACCAGGTTCTAAAAGAGGGTTAAATTTTAGAACTGGTAGTTAACTTTGCCGAAAGACTCAGTTTCGCCGTTTCGGAAAGTTATTTTGGAAGTAGCGAGCACTCAGTACGATCATGGACTTACGGGAGCTGCAGAAGTCAGACTTGTTGCTGTTGTGTGAGGAATTGGGGATCGATACAAAGGGTTTGGCACGAAAACCCATAATCATTCAAGCGATTAATGATTTGGGGGCTGATGATGAGGAACTAAGTGAAGAATGGGACCTCATCATCGAAAGAAAACTAAGAGCAGCTCAGATGGAAGGAAAGAGTGAACACGAAAGAGAAGGCCTCAAGAGAAAGTTTTTCAAACAAGACTATGAGTTGCGTATGAGAATGGGACTCCAGCAAGGAGTACTTCTCGAAAATGAGGCAGAGTTCGAGATGTCGAGGTACATGCAGCCATATGAGGTATCATGGGATATGGGCCTGTATCTTAGACTCTTTGAACGAAAGTGTAGTCTACTGAAGTGTGAGCGAGACACGTGGTCTCACAAGCTACTCACGGTTCTGCCCTGCGAGGCAGCGGATGTTGTTGCGCGACTCAGTGAGCAGCACGCGAACAACTATGATGTTATTAAAGCAGAGCTAATCAGGAGGTTTGTAAACTCTGTTAGCAAAAAGGAAGAAAGACTCAGGCCGAAGTCTGAAAGCGAGGCGCGTCGCAAAGCGCCAGAAGTTGAGGTGCCTCATAAAGCGCGACAGGAACAGATTGCGCCAGAGAAGGGCCCGCATATTCTCGAATGCATCCATGTAAATGATGTAGAGAACGAGGCCGTGGCCGGTCTGGAGGTGGGGACGATGTCGAAAGGCGCTCCTTGCGTGGATGAAGAGGGTGCCAGCAGCCCTAATGGGCCCAGTAAGAGGCTGGAAACCTTCTTCGTGCCTCAGGGGGACCTTTCGACATTGTCAAATTTAGGCATGGTTAGCGCAGCGGCTGATGAGAGCAAGAGCGCCACGCTTCAGCAGTGCAGCGATAATACCGAGCTGGTTTGCAAACATCGCAGAAAAAGGAAGAAGCGGAGGCGTTCGTCACTGCGCAAGCCTAGGTCGGGCCCTACTCAGTCACAAGAAAGACGAGAGGGTAGGCCGTTAATTCGTTCCAGGAAACGTCAATGGTGGCGTTCCGAGAGGTACAAGCGGCGAGCCAGGTGTAGAGGGGGGAAACGAGGTGCGTTACCCCAACGAAAAGCGCGGTTGCGTTTGACGACTTCGGGAAAGCGGCCTTGCCCGGTGGATCAAAGTCGAAAGCACAGAGTGGCTAAATACCGCGCAGGGTTGAATACAAAGAGAAAATGGCACAGGCTCCCTCCCAGCTACTGGCGTCACTTTCAAATTTCTACGGGGAATAAGCCGAAGTGTAAAATGAGGTGTGACGGAAGTGCACTGCTTAGAGTTTGTACATTTTGTAGCCTCTGGCGTGCTCGAAAACCGCCGGGACCGCGACCCCATCGTGTACGGTTAAAGGAACCATGAGAAAAGGGGGCGGTCAATATGAGTAACTTTTGCACAGGCGGATTAATTATGACTACTCAGTATTGCATTGGAGATGCAGATTTCAACTAGTTTAAATTTGGTAGGTTACGTGATGCGGTGGAAAATTTTCAGAAGGAAAACCGCCGAGCCAAAGGCTGAAAGTCAGCATTGAATCAGTTTAATCACGAGTGCGAAAATTTGCGTAAGGTAAAAACAGAGAAAATGTGTCATTTTTCTAGTTTTTTCAAAGGTTTAGTGTGACATCGTATGCCTTCACTGCCATGGGGAAGTGGTGTGAATGAGCATTTGAGGAAGATGTTAGCATAAACCGAATGATTTCATAAATTGATTAAGTTTGGCGCGACACAGTGGAGTTGTCGTTGCGCGCATTAAGAATTGAAAGTCATTTGGGTACAATTTCAGCATAAAACCTGTGCATTATTGTGAGGTGATTTTAATGAGTATCGCACCTAGGATTATTTTTGAGTTGTACACAGAGTTACAAGGTAACGTAAGGATAAGTAATTAGATCAACTTTGACGGCTAAAGCGTTTGGTTAGTAGTGCCGTGCATTTTGCAATGCTTAGAAATGAGAGTAATTGAACGCTCAGGAGAGCCCAGTGAGATTTACTCAGAGGCATTAGCAAAGGCAATTTGCTTCAACCAAACGAACATTCTAGAAAGAAGTGTTTGTCTCTGTTTTGTTGGTTTTCTTTGAAGAC